TGGTCTATTATGATGTAACAAATCATACTAGAGTGCTAAAATGATGCTAATCAGCTAGTTTGTCGAAAAAAAGTCGGTATTTTCCAGAAAACAAAAAAACTGCCGCTTGCGGGCATCGAACTCGCTACCTCAAAATGTAAAATCGGAGCGCACGCGTTGCGCCAAGCTGTTAGGTCCAACGCGGGGAGCTTCCATCCGCCATACCCTTTGAGCCGTTTGAATAGCACAGATTGTCTATTTCAAAAAGAAAAAAACTTGAAGTAATTTAGCTATTTTTTTATCAGAATATGTTTGCAAATCTTTACTCAAACGGTTCGTGGAAATTCACTTCGAAAAAACTGTTTTTTTAGTGCTTTTTGCCTCGTTTAACGATCGCTGCATTAAAACGGCCCCGTAAATTTTTGGCAAAGACGAATTTTTTATTTTATTCTTTTAATTGAAAGATTTTTTACTAATAAATGTATATAATCGTTTAAAAAACCTGCGTTCGACCGCTTTCTGTGTGATAAACGCCGCTAATTTTATCCTCTAGTTTCAAGAGCATTTTTTTGCGTATTAAACAACTTTTTTTCAAGCACATATTCTGTGGAGAAATATTTAAGTAAGCCCGTGATCTAAATTTTTGAAAAAAAGAAAAAAACTCGATTATATTCGCATATTAACGATATTTTTGAATTACGACTTTCGGCACTCCCTAAAAATTTTTGGCAAAGACGAATTTTTTTTATTTTATTGTTTTAAAATTACCGTTACTTGAATCAAAAATCATTATTTAAAAAAAGAAAGAGTGCGTTCGACCTGAAAAACACATGAAAAAAAGCAAAAAAACGACAAAATTTTTTTAGTTCCATTCACGTTTTTTTGTACGACATTCCGCGCGAACGCATCAAAAAAAGCGTGAAATATTTTTTTTAAACGAAAGAGGAAGCTTTTTCTGTACAAGTGTGTCAAATTTTATTTGCCAGTTCCACATATTTTACAACTATATCAAAATGAAAGTTGAAAAACCAAAAAAAGCCACTTTTTTTCTATCGCGAAAAAGGGGCGTGGCTTTTGCGGTCCCTACCTATAGGGACCACTTTTTCAGCTTCTAAAGAGGCTGTTTGAACCCGTTTTGGAGCTCACAGAAGCGTGAGAGAGGAATTATTTTTTTTTCAAAAAAATTCAAATAGATTTTTTTGCCTTGAGCCTTTTTTTTATTTTGGAATCTATCGAGAGTCTCGATTCGAGACTAATATTTGGATTTTTTTTCTTTTTTGCTTGAAAGTGTTCGTAGGTCCATGACCGCAGGGTCACTTTAACCATTTTCTTAAAATTTGTGAAGTCGTTGATTTTCAGGCTTCCAAAAAGACCTTCTTCTTTGTCTTTTTCTGAAAAACTGAGAAGTTTTGCAAGTTGAGGCTAACAGAATCTTTATTTGGTAGTTCAAGAAGTGTTCTGGCCTATCGCAAAGTAAATTACCTTCCTTGTGAGGTTTACTATGTAATTCGAGATCCTTATTCAATTTCAAACGTTTATTTTCCAGTAAATGATTTTTTCATCTTACAGAAAGGGTTCAAGACGAATTAGGAACAGATTTTCACATTTTTTTTTTCGACTGACGTTCCAAAAAAGCTTCTGAGAACCTCCGAATTATTTTCTGAGCCTCCAGAATTCCGATGAATATTTTAGTCCCCAAGCTTCTTAAGCGATTCCCGAGTAACTTCCTCAAATTCGTGCCAAAAGCGAAAAACAGGGATGATCGGTGATATGATAAGCGATTCAGAAGCCGAATTTAATGTGTTGATGGCGTGCCACGCATTTTATCCCGGGGCTCAAAAATAAGCTTCTTCCGTGGGCGTCGTTCTGGAGAATATCTTCATTCCTCCTTCTTTTCCTCTTATCAGACGGTTGCTTTTAGAATTTTGAAAGAAAACGGCGTCCCTTTTGCTTTTATCAATTGTCGAGATCTTTCGGACTTTTAGGCCGAACCGTGTCCGATTAGATCCATTTTCCTCACTTTCTCATATAAATCTGATCGAAAATTAAGGCTTTTCTGGAGTTTAAAGGATCATGTACAAAGGGTCTCGAAGCGAAAATTTTTTTCTGGTGGTATAGGCAGTCGGAAGGATCCTTTGAGCGTCCGTTATGGATCAATTGTTGCTAAACGGGTGGCAACGGTTTCCTTTTTACTGCCTTTTTCCGCCCTTTCATCGGCCATTATCCACCCTTTTTGGACCCTTTTGAGAAACTTTTTTAAAAAACACCAGTGACTGTGTATGAACCGAAATGCGCTACAGTAATAAAATCGGAAATACTCAATGGCCGAGACTTTCAGGACCCTTTTTGAAACTTTTTTGCAACCTTTTTTGACCCTTTTTTGACCCTTTTTGCATCCTTTTTTCACCCTTTCTGCACCCTTTTTAAGGCTTTTTAGCCCACCAAGAATGAAAGGCTCAATAAAGGCCGCCAAACGGGGCCCTTTCAGCACCCTTTTTGCACCTTCTTTGCACCCTTTTTCCAGCCTTTTTTCCACCCTTTTTGCGCCCTTTCTGCACCCTTTTTGATGCTTCTTAACCCACCAAGAAAGAAACGCTCAATAAAGGCCGCGAAACGGGACCCTTTTAGCGACCATTTTGCACCCTTTTCCGCACCTCCGACTTTGGCCGTGTTTGATCATATACCATTTTTGACCATTTTCCAAGTTTATAAAACATTTTCTCACGTTTTCCAACTGATAAGTCCCATTGAAATCATTCATTCCTCGACGTGAGGTCATTTTTCTTCCAGATAAGAATTCCTGAAGCGTAAAACAAAGGGACTTATCAGTTTAAAGATTAGTTTATAATCATCTTCTGGAAATATTTCATTTTATTAATGGTTGTCTGATTTTACACCTTGAAATAATCTCCTGCAAAAATGTATCTTCTCCCGGATTATAGCCAGACCTTTCATGTGACTGGAGGGATTAGTAGAATCTCAGAAATATCTTTTTTTTTTCACGCTAAATCTATATTTTATACCAAATGTTCGTCTTTTTGTTCCATCAAACGGCTCCCGCCTACGAGGAAGTTGAAGGTATTCTTGAAGAGAATTTTTTTGATTTTATTAATTTTTTTAAAGTCCTGATACCAGCTGGAGAATAGCCAGAACGTTAATTAGGAGTTCCAGAGTGGTCCCTATAGGGTTTAGGAAAAAGAACAGCCTTTATAGGGGCCGAAAAGTGGTCCCTATAGGGGCTCAGGGTCTGACCTCTCAGCCCTTAAAACTCAAGTGGTCCCAATAGGGGCCTATCATATTCATTCAAAAAAGCTCATTTATTCAGTTTTTTCCATGGAAATGCTTCTCCGCTTTGAGCTCATAATCGACTAGCATGTCCCCTATAGGGACCACTTTTGCGAGCTTTAGTGACCCCTATAGGGGTTGGTAGAGTGCTCGAGGCGCCTATAGGGACCACTCTGGAGTCCCCAAGTGAGATTTTTTCGGTTTTTAAATCGAAAATGCTTTTTTATAACTCATGATGTCACCGCGCGCAAGTCGTTTCAAGTCGGGCGAAGCAACTGAGCCATTCCCAGTGCGACCAGTAGGGTGAAGTTAGGAAAAATGAAGGTAATCATACAGCGTTTGTTAAGGAAATTGCGCAATAACTAGATTTTCAAAAAAAAAAAAGTGATATCCATTCTGTTTGAGACTTTTAATTTGCTGATTTACCCTTTTTTTGTTCATTAGTCAAGAGAAATTATTACAATTTTGAATATTTCCGTGGAAATTGGATTAAAAAAAGGCATTTAAATGTGGCCATAAAAAAACCACATTTGAAACGGGCGGTTCATAGTCTTTTTACGGGATTGAAGAAAAATTTCGTTTTTTTTTTTTTCGTTTCAATTGATTTTGATGGTTTTCTCAATAGGCTCTGTTGTATAATGAAACGATATATTTAAAAAAAGTCCATCTGTCAAAAAATTCAACAAAATTAAATTATTTCGATTCATTTTTCAGTGAATTTCTACCATTTTCAGCTTTTTTCTACTGTTTGATGGGTTTTTCGAGGATCAAATGTTTAAGAAATTTATTCTCAGGCTTCTAGTCTCTAAAATGTAATAAATTCAGTCCTTGGCTTTTAAAAAAACAGAATAAAAAATATTTTTGAACAGAATAACTATAGGAAACGTCTTCTAACGTAGGTTTTCACCCTTTTTCGGGAAAAGTTTCCCGATTTTGCCTTGATTTTACCTGTTTTTTATCCTTCCCTGGCCTTATCGCACCTGCCTTGTGATTATTTTCGAGCCCAGAGGTCAGAAAAGGTCATGACCCTGTATATACGTCCGCCGCGGCAGAAGAGCCCAAAAAAGGATCGGCGAGAGAAGGAGACAGATTGCGGCCACACGCAATCCCTTCGTGTACGACACGTGCCTTCTTTTTCTCCTATTTAAAGCGTGAAGCTTCTCACTTTTTCTGATTTTTTCATTCATCAATAACTTTATTATCAAGTTATATATTAATTAGAAGCAAGTTTCTGAAATTTATCACGCTTTTCATTGAAAAAAAAAAACTATTTTCATTGTAAATTTCTTTTTACTCGTCCCCAAGGCTGCTTTTGCACATCTTTTCATAGAAAAACCTTGATAGTAAATTCAAAAAGCAATAAAAAGTATAAAAAAGCCAAAAAAAAGAGCTAGCCTTTTTCAAATAGTTTTTTCAACCTAAATGAATCGAAGCGCTTTCAGAATCTCAACCAAGTCGTTCTGAAAAAAATTTTCAAGCTTGAAATAGAATAAGTTCTGAAAAATTACCGCAAATTCCATATAAAAACTTTAAAAATCCAACCTCTCCTAAATTTTTTTGCTTTTTTTAAATACTGGCAATGAAAGTGCGCCCCATTGACAACCAACCACAAAAGTTTTTTTTTTGAAATTTCACAAGTTTCTTTCATTTTTCTACGCTTTTCGCGAAAATTTGGCTTCATTCTGCTTCACGCGACATTCCTAGCGTTCAACTTGAGCCTAGGAAGTCGCTGACGGATGTACTTGACCCGTCTAGTTTACAATCTTGGTATGTTTTTTTGTTGAAGATTTAAAAAAATTGATAAAACTGTTTTTGCTTTTTTTTTAATTTTTGAATGCGTAGAGGACTTTATTTACCAATTTATTTGTATGAATGAGAGGATGAGAACGTCAGTTTCATTGATAGAAATGAAAAGAAAACTCGTCTTTTTAGGATTTTATCCCACGCATTTTTTTAATGACGGAGACGTTTTTTCTGCCAAAACGGACTTTTTTGTCGATTTTTAGCTTTTTTTAGTTATTCTATAGTTGATTTGAAGAGTTTTTGTTATGTTTTAAGGCCCATAATTCTTTCGAGACTGAAATTGAAGCTGAAAACGGCTCTTCGTTTCAAAAACTTTATAAAATTCGTTAATGCACTTTTTAATACTCCAGCTTTAAACTTTGAATAACCTGTGACAATTTGTGTCCCGAAATTGGGTTTTATTGAATAATTTTGATAGAAAAAACGCTTTTTTTACACGATGGCCGTTATTCTCATTCAAAATATAGACTTTTTTAAAACGTTTACTATTTCTCAGCTCGTCAGACAATGCCGTGCCGCCCGCTTGTGCTTTCTGGACCATCCGGAGGCGGAAAAAGCACGATTCTGACCAGAGCCATGAAAGAATACCCGGAGAGCTTTGCTTTCAGTGTTTCACGTTAGTTTTTTGGAAATATTGTGATTTTGGTTCATTTAATGTTTTTTTCAAAGTTATTCCGCAAAGTTCAAAATAGATAATGAAATTTATAGAGTCAAGGGTAATTTTGAACTCTGCGAAAATTACAAGGAATACTGGATAATAAGAATTTTGATGTTTTGAAACAAATTTTTTTCAGGAATTTTATGATATGCTTTTTGTTTTCAATGTAAGTTTACTCGTGTGAATTTTTTTGTAAACTTCAAATTTTTTTGATAAATTTAGAGTTGAAGTTGAAAAAAATGCTTTTTTTCTGATGTTCTCCATTCGAATGGTAATCATAAAAAAATACAAAAAAATTGAAAAATTCAGATTTTCACATAGAATAACTTTGAAAGTTCAATTTTTTTATCAAATATCGGTTTTTTTCATGTTTTTTTAGCCGATTTTGTACATAATATCGATTTTCAGGGTTAAAAAAATTTTTTTTTATTCAATTTTTTTGAAGAAGTCCTTTGATTCTTTGAATGAAAACCATTTTCAAAGAAATATCCCGGAATTCAAATTTTTTTCTATGGCTCTCCAAAAATCTAGTTATCTTTTTCTTTCTCTGACCATAGGCAAAGTCGGAAAGGGTGGAAAAAGGTTCCATAGAAATTTTTTTTTTTTTTGCTGCCTTTTTACGCCATTTCATCGGCTATTATGCACCATTTTTGCTTCCTATCCCTTTTTCCACCATTTCTTGAGCCGTTGAAGTTCTAGAAAAAATGGAAGGCTCGATAAAGGGACCCTTTTTGCTTCCTTTTTTGAGCCTTTTCCTTTTTGCGGCCATTATCCACCATTCCGACTTTGCCGGAGCGCAAACTTAGAAAATTCTCTCTGACTCTCCAAAATCTAGTTATCTTTTCCTTTCTCTGACCGATATTTTGAACTTCGCGGTTTCACTCTGAACACGGCATTACATATTTTAATTCCCAAGCTTCAAAATTGGGATTTTTCGGATATTTTCTTGATCTCAAAGAAGAAGCTTATGATTTTTAGATACGACGAGACAGCCGCGGACCGGGGAGATCCACGGAATCCATTATTATTTCACGGAGCGGGCGGAAATGGAGCAAATGATAAATTCCGGCGAATTCCTCGAACACGCACAGTTTGGCGGAAACATTTATGGGACTAGGTTCACGAAAAAATGAATTTTCCTTCAAAAATTAATGAAAAATCCAGCAAAACTTCCGTGGCCAATGTCGAAAATACGGGCAAGATTTGCGTTCTCGACATTGAATTGCAGGTTTTTATCGATTTTTTGTAAGAAATTGTTTGAAATTCCATTTTCAGGGCGTGAAAAATATCAAAAATAGCCATTTAAATGCACGGTACATCCTCATTCGCGCTCCGTCGCTAAAAAGCTCTCGTTGGTTTTTCTCATTTTCAGGGTTTTTTTAAGGTTAAATTAAAAGATATTTTTTTAAGGTTAAATTTAGGATATTTTAAGGTTAAATTTAGGAATTTTTTTAAGGTTAAATTAAAAGATATTTTTTTAAGGCTAAATTTAGGATTTTTAAGGTTAAATTCGGAATTTTTTTAAAAGGTTAAATTTAGGATATTTTCAAGGTTAAATTTAGGATATTTTTAAGGTTAAATTTAGGAAATTTTTAAGGTTGAATTTAGGATTTTTTTAAATATTAAATTAAGAATTTTTTTAAGGTTAAATGTGAAGAAAGCGGATTTTTTTCAAATTTTAGCTGTATAATTTTTCAACCCCTGAAGCTCATAGAACACCTGGAAAAAGTCGTTTTTTTCATTTTTTTATATGGTAAATCTTGCTTGAGAAAAAAATAAGAAGATTTTAATTGTTAATCACAAAAAAATCAACTATTTTCATAGAATTTTTTTAAAAATTTAATATTGTAAATTATATAGATATATGTCCGAATTTTCCTGATGTCTAGCATATATAAATGATTTTTTTCAGAAAAATCCAATTTTCCAACTGGAAAAATAATAAAAAAATGATATAATTTACATGAAAAAAATGTCGGGAATTTTCCATTTTTTTCAGCCGAAATTTTAGATTTTTTTAGATTTTTTTATGTCAAATTTGGATTTTTCTGAGTTGATTGATTTCTGAAAATTCTTAGGAATTGGGAGAAAAAAATAAGATTTTTTTAATCACAAAAAAATCAAAAAAACTTTATAAATTTTTGGATAACAGCTGTAATTCGGGAGATATTCCGTTTTTTTATTATTTCAGAACTTAAAAAAACTGGTTCAAAAAAAGACTTTTTGTAGTAATTCACATTGAAAAAAAGTCAAGATTTCTTCATTTTTCAGCCGAAATTTTGGTTTTTTTCCATGTCAAATTTGGGTTTTTTGAGTTTAAATTTTTGAATAGTTCATTTTCCAGCTCATATTGGATTTTTTCAGGAAGAACGGCTCAGGGCACGTGGCACAGAAACCCCGGAAACGCTGGCCAAACGGCTAAAACACGCCGAGGAAGACTTGCGCGAAGGTTAGGAATCATGTGGAAAACAGGTGCAAAATGGCCGCTAAAAGGGTTCCGTTTTGCGGCTTTTATTGAGCCTTTTTTTCTTGGTGGGTAAAGAAGCATCAAAAAAGGTGCAGAAAGGGTGAAAAAAGGGTGCAAAAAGGGTGGAAAAAGGGTAGAAAAAGCATGCAAAAAGGTTGCAAAAAAGGTGCTGAGAGGCTCGGCTATTGATAATTTCCGATTTTATTACTGTAGCACATTTTTCTTCACACACAGTCACTGTAAAAAAAGATTATTCTCAATTTAAAAAATGTTGTAAAAGGGCCAAAAAAGGGTGGATAAAGACCGATAGAAGGATCGATTTTATAGTTTTTATTTTATCATGATGTCTCCAAAATCAGAAAAAAATCTGATAGAAGAATATAAATGAAGCTCGCGAAACGTAGAACTCCCTGGATATTATGTTTTTAACTTCAAAAAATGTATCGCCATCATTTTAACACAAAAAAACAAACGTTAATTGAATGAAAAAACGTGACCTTGCGAAAATCTGCTTGGTTTTTTTTTACATATTCCAATGGATGACGAAGTGAAGAACATTTCGAAAATTCAAGTTAAGATTGGAAAAAAAAACAGGTTGTTTAAGAAATGGTGTAAAAATAAAAATAATATTAGGATCAAGAAAAAACTTTTTTCCCCACTGCCAAAGTCGGGAGTGCGGAAAATATGAGCAAAATGGCCTCTAAAAGGGTTTCGTCTTGCGGCTTTTATTGAGCCTTTCTTTCTTGGTGGGGGTAAATAGGGTGAAAAAATGGTGAAAAAAAGGGTGCAAAAATGTTTCAAAAAGGTTTAAAAAAGGTTGCGAAAAGGGTGCTGAGAGGCTCGGCCATTGAAGATTTCAGATTTCATTACTGTAGCATATTTTGGTTCATACACAGTCCCTGGTATTTCTCTAAAAAATTTCTTCAAAATGGTCCGAAAAGGGTGCAAAAAGGGTCTAAAAAGGGCCCAAAAAGGGTGGATAAAGGCCGATGAAAGGACGGAAAAAGGCAGTAGAAAGGAAACCGTTCCCATCCGTTTAAGAACATTTAATGGTAACTTTTTGGACCCATAACGGACGTCTAAAGGGTCCTTCCAACTTTGCCTATGATTTTCCAGCTTTTCCAAAAAGAAATGAATTTTTTCCAGTCGAAAAAGACCCGACGCTTTTTGACGTGGTCATCATCAACGACGACTTGGAACGCGCCTACAAGCAGTTCATCGACGCGATCAAGGACGATCTCAACCAGACCATTTGTCAATAAAAAATCGGATTTTTGTCGAATTTTTGACAGGAAAATTTGCCGTTTTTCATGTTATTTTGAACTTTTTTCTCTAAATTTCCAGCTTCCCGAGCTTTTATAAGCGAATTTTAAAATGAAAAAAAGTGAAAAATTTTGGCTATTTTCTCATGTTATTTCAATATTTTTTTGAGTTTCCTGAGATTTTTAGATGAGAGTTTCAACGAGAAAAATATGAAAAAAATAGCCATTTTTTTCATTTAATTTTTTTATGATTTTTTTCGGTCAAAAACTTCATAATTTTAAAGGCTAAATTGAAAAATTTGCCTTTTTTTCATGTTATTTTGAACTTTTTTCTCAAAATTTTGAGCTTCCCGAGCTTTTATAAGCGAATTTTGAGTGAAAAGTAGAAAAATTTGGCAATTTTTCCCTAAAAACCCCATTCATCCTTCTTTCGTAGTAATTTATTCAGTCGATAATAATTGTTTTTCTTTTTCTGTGTGTATTTTTTGCTCTCCATATTTGACATGACTGAGAAATTCGAGTGGTCACTTAAGAAACTTTATAGCGATCATTTTCTGTCAAGTTTTGCCCCTTAAGTGGCCAATTGATTCTTTGAAACTCTTAAATGACCACTTGAAGTTTTTTCAATAAGTTTACGTGTTGTTTAGGAGCTCCAGAGTGGTCCCTAGAGGGGTTTTAGTTAGTGAACCTTATAGGAATCATGCTAGTTTTGAATAAAATTGAGCGATCCCTATAGGGACCGCTTAAGCTTTACAGGCTAACGGGTCAGACTTTAAATCCCTATAGGGATTATCTTGATTTCACCCCTATAGAGACCACTTTTTCGGCCCCCATAGGGACTGTTTTCCCTCCTAACCCTATAGGGATCACTCTAAAATTCCTTTTTGGTGTCTTTTCTTGAAAGCTTTTCCGTTCATTTGTGTTGCAATTTTTTCATTCCTCGTTTTTTTTTTCTGATTTCTTCTTAAGTGAACACTCCAAACGATGATGAGACAGAGCTTTATTCATATTTTATTTTTCATATTTACCTGGTTTTTTTTTTCGTTCCAATCGGTTTTTCCTATGCAAAGGTTTTTAGTCAGCATTTCTTTAATAAATTTTTCGGTTTTTGTAACTTTATTTTTGTGAAAAGTGTTTTCTTCCATGTTCATTATGAAGTTACTTGCTTTGTTTTCAGGGAAATTTGGAAAAAAATATGAGATTAAAGAGAAAAAAATGGCGGCGAAAAAAATTACCGCCCCTGCCGGCTCTACGAGACTTTATCCACATGTATCGGCTGCAGGCGAAAAAAATCCTGTCCCAGAATTATATCATGGATATGAATGTTAACAGGAAGGTATTGTTCATTTTTTTGATTCGATTTGAAAAAAAAAGTTTAAAAATCGAGAAGTTACCTTCGGAAAATTTTGCGTTTTTTTTTTGCCTTTTTTAACTTTTCATCCATTGAAACAATCCGTTTTTTCTGTACTATGGAATTTTCAATGATTTACTAACTTTCATTGTTTTTTTAAGCTACATCTATTAATAATGATTCTTTTTGAAACATTGAAAAAAACTCAAAAAAATTATTTTGAAACCGTTTTTTTGAACATTTATTGAGATTTTTTTCTCTTTTTTTATTTTGGAGCTTTTAAAAATTTATTTAATGAAATATTAAGACCAAGTTTTAAGTTTAAAACGAACTTTACTTCACAAAAAAATAATAATTCGATTCTTAATGTATGTTGAAAAATTTGACAAGGAACTCGAATTGAAGAAAAAAATCATGTTTTTTTCGCATTTTGAAACCAAAAAAATCATGATTTTACTGCGATTTCTTCGTATAGGTCATTCCGCGCCAGCTTGTCACGATTTTAAATCTCCTCGGAGCTAGAGAAACCATTTCGGCGCTTCGCTTCGATGCTCTCGGTGTTCACCCCTGCGTGCGCCTTTAATAAAACATTATTTCTGATTAAGATATTGCTTCAGTTTCCTCTATCTCTTGTACTAATTTACGAGGTTTTTTTGAATGAATTGATCTCATTTTTCGCTTTAACTATACACGCTCAGATTCTGTGCTGGATTTGTAGAAAATCAAAAAAATTGAATTATTACTTTTTTTAATTGTTATTAATGAAACCGACTGTTCGAGCTTTTCTTGCATATAATTTTTGGCTTAGTTTGATATAAAATTTGATGTTACAACTGTTTTTGTAGAATTAGAAAAATTCCAAAGTTCGGAAATAATGAGTTTTATTAAAGGCGCACGCTAGGGGGCACAGCGAGAACATCGAAGCGAAGCGCCGAAATGGGTTCTCTAGCTCCGAGGAAATTTAAAATCGTGACAAGCTGGCGCGGAATGACCTATATTTACATTGATCTAATAGGTTGTAAAGTTGTTGAAATTGAGATTTTTCATATTTTCTAGTAGAAAATGTTATCTTTTTTCATTTTCATCCGTGGTTTTTAGATAGTTCGTCATGCTGGTGTCAAACCGGGTGATTGGGTCGTCGAAATTGGCCCGGGACCTGGAGGTTTTCATAAAGTTACCAAATTTTTTAAGTGACTTCTTAAGGAATCACTCGAGGGATCCTGGAAGCAGGTGCCGGTAGACTGGACGTCGTTGAGATTGATAGCCGATTTATTCCTCCTTTGACGGTAATTTCGAGAAAAATTAACTTGAATGTTAATTTTTTTAGCATTTGGCTGAAGCTGCAGAAAATCGCATGTATATTAATCACAACGACGCGTTGAAATGCGAAATTGGCGATTTGTGGAAGGTTTTTTCACCCCTCAGAAGTTCCAGAGGGGTCCCTATAGGGGTAAACTTGAAGGCCCTTGGAGGGTTCCCTGAGGGACAGGTTTACCAACCCCTATAGGGACTACTAAAGCTCGTAAAGGTGGCCCCTATAGGGGACATGCTAGTCGATATTTTTTATGAACTCTAAGCGAAGAATTGCTGAGAAAAACTGAAAAAAAGAGTTTTTTAAATGAAATGGCTCAAGCTCCGCCCCTAACGACGTGATAAACCAATCAGAGAGCGAGCATCCACAGAGCTTTTTCGGATGACGTCATTGTACTTGACGTTCAAAATTTGAACAGACTTTGAATTTTTCAGAAAGCTTTTTGGTGTCTCAAAAATCTTCATCTTGCTTAAATTTTTCGTTTTTTAAGGAATTAAGCCTAAAATAAACATTTGAATAATGTTAATTTACATTTTTTTTAAAAGTTTTAAGCTCTTGTTTCCTGAAAATTAGGGAATTTTCGCATTTTGAGACTTTCAGAATCGTCTTTTTAGTGTTGTTTTCCAATAGATTTGCTACGATTGTTTGTTTAAAGTTAAATTTTTTTATGCAAAGAATGATTTTTTTAAGTGCCAGATAACGATTCCAAAATCTTAAACTTCCTATTTTTTTCAAGAAAAATATACCGAAAAGTTGAAAAACCATCAAACTTTGAAAAAAAGATATTTTTTTAGGACTTTTTTTCTTGAAAAAAATAGGGGTTTTTGCATTTAGAAACCTTATAGATCGTTCTACAAGTTGATCAAAAAGAATTTTGGCCAATTTTCAAAAAATTATCAAGCTTTAGAGTAAAATGTTCTTCATTTATAGGCTTCTTATTCTGAAAAATAAAATTTTCAGGATTCTCCGGACCGCCCTTCTTCTGAAAATTGGCTTTCCGAACCACCAAATATGCACGTTATCGGAAATTTGCCCTTCAATATCGCCTCGCCATTGATTATAAAGTTATTGATTTTTCAAGATTTTGAAACGAAAAATTTGAGCATTTTTTTGCACGCGCGACGCGGTTTTGGCGCAATTTATCGATTTTTCTCACTTTTGTTAATAATTTTTTTCGTATTTTCGTCAAGTGCCTGTTTTAAAGAGGAAAAATTCAATAAATGAGCCAAATATTCGTGGAAAATTTTCGAATTTGCGCCAAAAACGCGTCGCCATCGTTTCCCCAATACCCCGTGATGCACTCAGATTTTTTTGCTTAAGGATTATAGCAATTTTTTTTAACGTTTATACTAGTGTTTATTGAATATTTCTCTATTGTTGAATTTTCAGCTTCTTTCGATTTTTGTTTCTCTCAAAAATTGCAAAAAAGGTCTTTTCATGGTCCAAAACAAATTTTTTTTTGTCTTTCACTTCATAGGCAAAGTCTGAAAGGGTAAAAAAAGGGTTCATATAAAAGTTCCTTTTTTGCCGCCTTTTTGTGCCATTTCATCGGCTTTTATGCACCATTTTTGCTGCCCCTCCCTTTTCCACCATTTCTTGAGCCTTTTAAAATTTTAGAAAAATGGAAGGCTCGATAAAGGGACCCTCTTTGCGGCCTTTTTGCTGCCATTTTGCGGCCATTTTGCTACCTTTTTGCTGCTTTTTGCTACCTTTTTGCAACCTTTTTGCTACCTTTTTGCTACCGTTTTGCGGCCTTTTTTGAGCCTTTTCTTTTTTGCGGCCATTATCCACCATTCCTTTTTCACATTCTTTGAGAACAAGATGCTGGAAAAAAAAACTATGAAGCTTCTCAAAATTCAAAAATGATCTCAAACCCTCTGTTTCAGCTCATTCTGAAGAAATTTTTTTTTAGGAATTTTTCAGTTTTAACAATAAATTGACATGTGTAGAATCGGTATTTTGCTGTTTTTAAAAACCCAATAAATAGGTATTTCTAGATATTTACGCGACATGTCCTACCGGAGAGGAATTTGGGCCTTCGGACGTGTTCCGCTGACTTTGACCTTCCAGCTGGAGGTACGTTTCAAAGAAAGGATAATTCCAAGTTCGAAATGGACTCTTTGATAGGAAACGGTCATACTCTTCGTGATTTATTTTAGGTGGCCCGAAGGATTTGCTCCCCGATCGCCTGTGATTCACGATCGAGGATATCGATAATGGCTCAGTACATTTCGATGCCCAAGATAGCTTTCGAGATATCAGGTGGCGAAATTGACTAAAAGTTACGATGTATGGCCTCACACTGGTGTAGGAAATAATTCCTCCCCCTCCCCTCACCAGTAGGAAAAAAATCGTTGATCTGGTGGGAGGCGATTCTAGAATGGGGGCGATTTTTCAAGATTGCCTGGGCATTCTAGAATGAACCTTCACCTAACTGGGGGATTCTAGAATAAGATGGAGCCCCTTCCCCCACCAGTAGAGAAAAATCATTGATCTGGTGGTTCAGTATGTAGTGGGGTGCGATTCTAGTTTGGGGGAGAGGGGGGGCTGATCCGGACAAGGCTTGCAGTGCTTATTCCGAAGTTGGGAGGGGGAGCGATCTTTGAAGGCTCTGGAATTCTCCGAAGCTTTTTTTCGTATTTTTTCCTTTTTCATATAGTCTGGAAAGATTTTGAAAAAAAATTTGTCGTTCAAACTCCGCCCTTAACGGCGCGATAAACCAATCATAGAGCGAGCCATCCACAGAGCCTTTCCGAATGACGTCATTGTTTATGAGATTCAAAATGTGAACAGACTATATTTTTCTCAAAATCTACAGAAAAGATACGAAAAAGCACGTTTTGATCACAGCTTCCTTGTAGGAAAATCAACATTCCTGAAACTTTTTAGAGCTAGGATAACTATTATTGGTAAAACATTGGTGAAGTTTCAGCTTCCAGAAACAATTATTTGGTTTAGGAAGTTTTGGAAATCTTCTTGAGGAAATTCGTCAAAAGGTGTTTTATCCAGGAGTCCCAAGAAATTTGACTGGAACCTGAAGTTTTCACCTGTTTATTTTTTTATTTTTAAGAAATCTAAGCTTGAAGGACCAATCAAATCTGTCAATAATTTGAAATCACAAGGGAAGTAATTATCCTTTGGGGCTGGAATTTTTCTGTAAATTCGCCAGACAAATCTTTTTTTGAAGCTCCTGCGCTTTTCTACCTGCAAAACCCTGTAGTTATTTTCTAATGACTCAAATTGAACAAATTTTATTGGTTTTTTAGAACTTGAGGTGAGTTTTTTTTTCCGTTAGTTAGAGAGTTTTGTAGGTTGAAACTTTCAGAATTTCCTTCCGGTGTGTCTTGAAAATTTTCGAAAATGTCTCAACTGCAGAATATAATCACCTGCCCTGCCAGAAGCAGAATTACAGCGCTCTAGATGTTGTAAAATTCACACGGATCGAAAAAATTGGTTCATCTTTGAAAAATTGAATTTTTTCGTTCAGGGTCATGCTTCGTTCCGAGGCCAGACGTCGACGTCGGCGTCGTCCGGTTTGAGCCCAGAAAAAGCCCCTTAATTGATGTACCTTTTGAGGTAAAATTAAACCAAAAAATAAGTCCGTGGAACTGAGAAGCTTCTTCTATAGGATCTGCTGAAAAAAAACTTTTTTTTCCGATTTTCTAACGAGACTTCAATTTTTTTTCTTGCCGTAATAATGTCAAAGCAACCTTTTAAATAACTATTTTTAACAATTTATCTCATTCCAGGTGATTGAGAAAGTGTGCCGGCAGGTGTTCCACTACCGACAGAAGCATATGATTAAAGGCCTGAAGACTTTGTACCCTGAAGAGGTATCAGAATAGGGACTGGAGATGTTTGCTCAAAGGAATATTCCGATAAAACCTATTTTTGATATTTTTGCGATATCTAATAGATAGATCCTCACGAGGGAAGTTTCTGAGGTGAAAACTTCAAATCTGGTCCAAATTAAGGGGGTAGGCAGTCCCAGGTAAGATTCCATGAAAGTTATTAAAATTATCTTCTAAGGAGTACCTGAAAAATAGAAAATGTACAAAAACATTTTTTTTTCGATGTAAGGTTGGATTTTTGTTGATTATGATACAGTAGTTCAGAGAAATGGATTTCGAATTCATATTTCTGAAAAAAGGCGACTTCCCAGCAATTCCTGTCTATTTTTGACCGTTTTCTTCTCGGTACCCCTTAGCAGAAAACTATTTTTGTTCACGAGTACCTTATCCTAGGAGTACCCACCACAAGAGTTTGGGTCAGATCGAAAATGTTCAGAATAGGCTCGAAAACTTTTTCCCCCGGATTACACACTTCCCTCGTCAGGAAACTTCAAAAAAACTATTTTTGAAGAATTTTTGTCCCGAAAGTTTATCGAAATACTCCATTGCGCAAATATAGCTGGTTCGCGGCTGGCTTGAGCCATCGAGAAAAGGGTCTTGCCACGAAAAGAGACGAGACAGTGCCCTGGTTGGTGGAGAGTGCAGACAGGTCACGCCTTTTTGCGTCCCAAGCTAGCCGTGAATCTTCTATATCATACGTCCGAGAATTGTGGAAAATCCGAAAAAGATTAAAATTTAAGATTGCCGACGATTTGGCCCATGAAGTCCTCCGAGAATGCCGAATCGACCCGACGACGACGTCGATTCGACTCGGCGTCGAACAATTTGGCGATATCGCCAGGATTTATTATAGGCAGTGCTTGAAGTAATCATTCTGTGATGTTGCAAAAAAATTAGTAGCGATATCGCTATAATCCATTCTAGGCAGTGTTTGAAGTAATCATTCTTGATGCTGGAAGAAAAAATCAAGTAGCGATATCGCCAAGATTTACTATAGGCAGGGTTTGAATTAATGAGTTCGATGTTAAAAAATAGGGCAGCGATATCGCTTTGATTTATTATAGGCAGGACTTAAAGTAATGAATCTGAGATAAAATTTAGGCAACGATATCGCTGAGATTTACCATAGTTAGGGATTGAAGAGATCATCTTTGATGGTGGAAGAATTTTGTAGCGATATCGCCAGGATTTATCATAGGCAGTGCTTGAAGTAATCTTTTCTGATGTTGCAAAAAATATGGTAGCGATATCGCTCTCATTTTCTATAGGCAGGGCTTGAAGTAATGAATCCGAGATAAAATTTAGGCAGCGATATCGCTCTGATTTTCTATGAGCAGTGCTTAAAGTATTCATATTTGATGCTGGAAAAATGGGTAGCGATATCGCCAAGATTTACTATAGGCAGGGCTTGAAAGAATCTTTTCTGATGTCGCAAAAAATATGGTAGCGACATCGCCGTCGAATTTTTTATAGACAGGACTTGAAGTGATCATTTTTGATTTCGGAAAAATTGGGTAGCGATATCGCTGTAATTTGCTATAGGCAGGACAAAGTAATGAATCTAAGATACAATTTAGGTAGCGATATCGCCAAGATTGGGTTTGATGTAACCTTTTTTGATTTTCAAAGTTTGGTAGCGATATCGCTATTATTTTACTGTAGGTAGGGGTTATAATAATAATTTTTTTGATTCGGTAGAAAAGTCGATAGCGATATCGCCAGGATGTGCTATAGGCAGGGCTTGAATTAATCATTTTTGATGCTGAAAAAGAAATATTTTGGTAGCGATATCGCAAAAAAAGGGTAAAACTGTCCAATTTTCAGAAATTTTCACACCAATAAGGAAATTTCCTTCCTCGTTGGTCAAGTCGTTTAAACAAGTTTCTTGTTTCCTGGATTGGAAAGACCAAAGTTTGGAAAAAGTTTGACTTTACAGCATGCCCGGTCTGTTCCCCTACGACTACACTAAAAAACGGCTGACCGTCGCCGAATTGGCCAAAAAATCGGACTCTCTACCGCCGCCGATGCAGAACTTCCCCAAGGCGGAACTGCCGCGCGAAGGCTGCAAACTTCGGGATTTTGCCATTTCTTAGTTGATTATCACCTTGATTCTAATGATAGGTTAAGTATTAAAAGTTGTGTAGCTTGAGAATAATTATATTTAGTGGAAATTACGGCTTCTGGAGTTTTATGAGTGTTGAGCAAGCTGTTCTCGGTTATAGCTGATTCACGGCCAGCTTGGGACGCTAAGGGGGCGTGTCTTGTCTGTGCTCTCCATGAGCCACGCACTCTCTCGTGCATTATCGTGTCAGGACCATTTTTCCAATGGCTCAAGCTAGCCGTGAATCAGTTATATAGCCCGTTTTTCGCGACTTCTCTGCGCCCTCCTCGTCTCTCGGCGACCCTCTCATGTTCACGTGCTCTTTCCCTGTTTCTCTGACCTCTCTGGTGAGGGAACAGAGAGACGCAGACACGCTAAAAGTGTCAAGTCGCGGTGGACGGACTATATTGCGATTTTGGCAAATTAAATGAAAGTTATAGTCTATTCCGATTTTTTTATGTCAAGCAGCATACTCCGCCCCTAATAACGCTCAGTAATTGGTTTATTAAAATTAGGGGCGGAGCTTGAAATTGACCTTCAAAATCTGAACAGACTATGTTTAAGATTCGCTTGATTTTCCCGTATATAGTCTGCTCAGATTTTTGATTTGAAGAATAAGGACGTCATTCGAAAACGCTCTGCGCATGGTTAGCTCTCTGATTGGTTTATCGCGTCGTTAGGGGCGGAGCTTGACGCAATCCGAACAGATTATATTCATGACCACTAAGAAAACCTCTATAGAAGCCATTATTTTTGCTTCCTAGGGACCACTATAGTAGTTTTGGTACTCTCGTAGTACCACTTGGACTTCTAAAAGAATCAATGAGTTTTGGTCACTTAAGTGGCCACTTATTCGACTACTATAGTGGCCTCTCAACAGTCAAAACTGCAAAGTGGCCGCTAGAATTTTCACAGTATAAAAAATTTCATTATAAGTGAGATTTCCGTGAATTATGGTGCTTAGGGTGCAAACACACAGAGACGCAATATCGCGTACTCCAAAATTTTTTTTCAGTTTAAAAATTTGAAGCTCACGAAATCTTTTCTATCTTAAGAATATATTGTCAAAAAACAGTTAATTAGAATTTTCATTATTTCTTGTTTCATCCAAGTTTTTTTTTGTATCAAATTTGTTGATTTTCATTGTTATTGCTGATAAATATCGTTTTTTTCTGATTCTTATTATTTTTGTGTGATTTAATTGATTGAAATCATAAGCATAAAAGTTGGAGAACTATTCGTTTCATTTTTGTTTTGTTTAGACGTGAGTGCTTTCGTCTACATCTGTTTATATTTCGGCTGCGAGGACCCTTTTCCCCGTTCGGCCTCGCTATATTGCATTTCAGAGTGCTTTTGCCCGGTTTTTTCGAGATTTGCGTCGTTTTTTTGTATTGCAAAGTTATCAAAAAGTTCGATTTTACTGCGGTTTTTCGTCTTTTTCCTAAGGTTTGTGATTTCGCGAGCTTTTTGTTGTATTTTTTTGAAAAATCATGTTGATATTCTTGGATAAAGGCCACTGCTTATAACTGTTTTTTTCGATTAAAAAAATTAACTTTTATCGGTTTTTTTAACAGTTTTTTTGGAGGGTTTCCGGAAGAAAAAGTGGCAGATTTTAACGTAATTTTTTTTCAAAAGACCTATCGAAAAACTTGAAAAATTATTTTTTTGAAAAAAGCTTTTTTTCATAATTTATTTTAGTTAAAAAGACCTTTATTTCACTGGGAAATTTAATTTTTAATTTTTTTTTTTCTGGTCCTTTTTTCAAGATTATTTCATTTTCTTTGATGTAAGTAGTTTTAATTTTAAGTTTTACCTTTTTTTTAGTTTTTTTTCTGAAAAATCAAGTTGTTATTGTTGGAAAAAGGGACCTTTTTCTAGCTTATAACTGTTCTCTCGATTGAAAAAAATTAACTTTTTCCGATTTTTAATAGTTTTTTTGAAGGGAGTTTTTCGTAAGAAAAAAATATTTTTGTTAAATAATTTATTTCAAAAACCTTTCGAAAAACTTGAAAATTATTTTTTTAAAAAAGCTTTTTTTCATAATATATTTTTAGTTAAAAAGTCCCTTATTTCACTGGGAAAATTGGATTTTTAATTTTTTTATTCGTATCCTTTTTTCAAAGATTATTTTCGATTTTCTCTGTTGAAAAAAATTTTTTTAATCCATCTTTTTTTCCCTTCGTCAACGGATTAATGAGGCTTATCCAGCCAGGAAAGGTCAAGCTACATTTTTCCCATTTTTCAATTTCCCCATGCCCTTCCCTTTCTCTCCAAATGAAGCCCTACTGGAAAAAAAAACGGGAAAAGTATCGATCCCCCACATGTGTGATGTCATGTGGGGCCGAATAATTGGCTCTTTTTTGTTGCAAAACGTTCTTCCCATTGTTTCTCGACTATTAAAATAGAGTAGAAAGTCCAAAGTTTCATTTATATGTCGTTTTCAATAGCTTTATGGAATTTTTTTTGCGTTTTTGCACTTTTTTCTTACTTTTATGAGTCACCTTGCCCGTGAGTTACACCTTTTTGTTCGTTTATTTTTTTAATTAAAAAAATTGATTTCAAGTGAAAATTTCCCCTATTATGGTTTTTTTCAAAGTGTAGAAGGTGTATTTTACGTTTTTTTGGTATTTTTTTAAACCTTTGAATTTTTTTGGGAAAAATTTTTTTAATAGGTTTTTAATTGCTTTTAATTTTTATTTTCAGTAATTTTTTATGAATCACGTTGTTTTTTCGCTATTTTTTGGTTTGCTTTTGATTGAAATGTCGATTTCAAGTAAAAATGTCCCTATTCGTTTTTTTGAAGTCAAGAAAGTTTATTTTACGTTTTTCGGAATTTTTTTAAATTTTTTTCAAGCCTTTTTTTGTGTTTAAAAAAATAGGCTTTTTTTATTTCTTTTTCAGGAATCAATTATAAGTTACTTTTTTTCCTCGAAATATCCCATTTTCGTGTATTTTTTTGATTAAAATGTCGATTTCGAGTAAAAAATAAACATAAAAAAATGCTCCAATTTGAAGTGAAATGCTATATTTTACGTTTTTTTGAAATTTTTTTACATTTTTTTAAGACTGTTTTGGGCAATTTTTTTAGAATACGCTTCTTTATTTTTTTTATGAGTCACGTTGTTTTTTTCGCCACTTTTCATTAATTTTTTTAATTAAAATGTCGGATTTTAGTAAAATTAAATATGGAAAAATGTTCCTATTAGTGTTTTTTTTGAAGTCAAAGGATGAAATTTGCTTTTTTTCGAATTTTTTTAGAAGAAATTTTCGAGCTTTTTGCGCAAAAATTTTTTTATAGGCTTTCTTTGTTATTAGAAGGAGACATGATTTTTTTCAGAAGTTTTTTTGAAAGTTTTTCTCTTTTTTTGTTGAAAAAAAGTATGGAAAAAGTCGATTTTTTTCAGTTTTTTTTAGAAGGTCACCATTTACCAGTGAAACTAGGATACTTTTTAGGATTTAATTGTAAGAAAATTTATTTGATAAAAAGGTTCAAAAAAGGTTTTCGCTACATACGTTATGCTTTATCCACGTTATAGAAGGCAATTTTTTTTTAAGTTTTTGATGAGTTTTTCAATTTTTAAAAGACTTAAATAATACTTGAAACTCTTTGAAAGTCTCCTAACACGGGAGGTAATTTACTTTGCGGTTGGGAATTTCCTGAAAATTGGCCAGAACACTCCTTGATGTACTAGAAGAAGTATCTGAAAGTCTCAACCTGCAAAACTTCCTAGTTTTCGAGAAATAGGGTCAAAAGCCCCAAAATAGCCCATTTTGATGGATTTTGAGAGTTTTTTTTGACTTCGAGGCGTCTTTTCTCGAAAACGAGGAAGTTGTGAAGCTTAAGACTTTCAGGATCTTCTTCTGGTACATCCAGAAGAGTTCTGGCCAATTTCCAGGAAATTCTCAACTACAAAGTGAAATGACCACCTTGTAAGGAGCTCCTTTCAAAGAAAAAAGGCCAGAAAAATGACTTGAAGACCTTTTTTTTCAGAAAAACAATAATTATTATTTCAAATCACCTCCTGTTCTTTGATATTCGCGCACCTTATTTCTCAATCATGAATCACCTTTTTGAAGTGTTCGTCATGATACCATAGTAACCAGGCGCTGACAATCTTAACATTTTTCCACAAGTCCTTATAATTTCAAAGGTGGGCGGTTCGGCGCCTGTTACCTGGGCAACGGGCCGTTTTTCGACAGGTGATTTGCTGATTGCCATCTTGTCAGTTGCCCCTGTTTCCCTTCCTTTCCTCAAAAAATGTCCCATTTTGCCCGCTTTTGAATCGTCTAGTTGTACCTATTGACACGGGGAAATCGCGCAAATCCCCCCTGAATAAATAGAAAATGAATTCCAGCGGATTGCCCTTTGAAGGTCAGTTTCTACATGAAATTTTGCTAAATGGTCCTGGAAGTACCTCAAATTCAAAAAAGGGCCCTTTTAAACGATTTTTGACAGTTTTCCTTGACTTCTCCTCGAAATTTAGAGATTTTTAGTGGATTGAGATGGTCAGGACCTTCATTCAAACACCAGGAAACATAGGCAAAGTCGGAATAACCATTTACGGGACCCTTGATTGTCCGTAATGATCAAAAGGGTACCATTAATCGTTCCTAAACGGCTGGCAACGCTTTCCTTTTTACTGCCTTTTTCTGTCCTTTCAGCACCCTTTTTGAGCCTTTTTAGCCCACCAAGAAAGAAAGGCTCAATAAAGGTGGCAAAACGGAATCCTTTTAGCGGCCATTTTGCAGTCACTTCCTTTTTCCACCCGTTCCGACTTTTACAGGGAGTATAATGGCCAGATCTCGGAAAATTCTGAAGTTTTGACTAACCAAATAAGCTCCCTTGATTTCCGACTTTCAAGAGTCCCTAACTTTTTTCACATACTTATTGGGCAAATTTTGAGACCAGATTTGGAATCAGCGTGAAAAACTACGTCTAGAAAAATATCCAGAAGTACCTCTGGTTCCAAAGCCCCCTTCCCCCCCTCCGGTTGAACTTTTGCTAAAATATCCGACTTTTAAGAGTCTCTAACTTTCTTCACAGCCTTCTTGGGCAACTTTTGAGACCAGATTTGGAATCAGCGTGAAAAACTACATCTAGAAAAGCTGGTCCCATTTCAGAAGTCCCACTGCGCCCAAAGTCCAGAACAAGTGAAAAAAAGATTTTTTTAGATTTTTTTGTGATTGGGAACAAACACCAAAAATTTGAACTGATTCAGTTTCAACGGAAAAAAATTTTTTAACAGGAATTTTTAATAATTTTAAATACATAAAGGAAATTAAAAAGGTACGAAAAAGGCTTTATTTTAGTCAAAAATTCACGCCATTTTTTTGTAAAATTTCAGTCAAAAAAACTTTAAAAAATGCAAGAAAAAAAGCTTCAAAAAAATGCCATTTTTTTAAAAAATCAGTCTTGAAGTTTTGGCTACCATCATCCTTTCAATGAAAAAAAGTCTTTGAAAAGATCCAACTTTTTTTACTAAAAATGCACTTTCCAGCCTTTTTGACGTAGCTTTCTCTCACTTCTTCTTAAAACTAACGGCCAATTAGTAATTAAAACATGAAAAAAAGTGCACATGAGTCATAGAATCTCGTGTTTCTCTATCATATTTGTTGTCTCGTGTCGGCGAAAGATCTCTGCTCCTACTTTAGTATTTGCCTGAACGCGGTCGGGTAACTAAAGTAACATTCCCGTTTCCACTTGTCGATTTTTTGTTTTTTTTTTCCCTTGATTTTGATCTAGCACTTCTGATTTTCGAGTTTCGAATGAGAAAAATAACATTTTTTGAAAAAAAACTTCTCGGAAAAATTCCACTTTTTGAGCTTAGAAAAACGAGGTCGCGGCTATTTTTCGCAGCTATTTTTTCCGAGGCTCAGTTTTTTTAAAGCTTCTCTTTTTTTGGCTATTTCCTTCAAGTTATTTTATCCGACGCTATTTTTTCTACTATTCCATTGGTTTTTTTTCTACAAAAACTGTTTTTAGCCCAGAAAAACTAGGTCGCGGCTATTTTTCGCAGCTATTTTTTCCGAGGCTCAGTTTTTTCTGAGGGTTGAAGGTTTTTTCCGGCCATTTTTCTTCGAGCTATTTTTGCCGAGGCTATTTTTTCTACTATTCTATTGGTTTCTACACAAACTTTTTTGAGCTCCGAAAAAAAAGGTCGCGGTTGTTTTTCGCAGCTAGTTTCTTCGAGGCTCAGTTTTTGAAAAGCTTCAAATTTGCAGTTTTCTTCGGCTATTTCCTTCAAGTTATTTGAGCCGAGGCTATTTTTTCTGCTCTTGCTTAATTTTATCCAAGCTGTCTTCTCTTTGAAGCTTTTTCATTCGCGGCTATTTTTCCTAGATGCTTCAAAAAATGCTCTTTTTTCAAAGCTTTTCAGAGCTTTTTTTTCCTAATTTTTCAGTTCGCGGCTATTATTCTCAAGGCTATTTTTTCGTCTCTTTTACAACGTTCAAATTTTCTCTGGCTATTTCTCCATAACAATTTCTTTGTTCCATCAGAAATGCACAATGGAGAGCCGCCACCGCCTCCGGGAGTCGTCACGATGCAACCGGGCTATGGACCACCCGCTATGATGCCGATGCAGCCATTCTCTCATCCGATTACGGTTCAACCGGGACTCCAACCCGGCCAAGTCGCCAGTCATAGTGAGTTACAGGAAAAAGCAAAAAAAAAATCTTGGCGGCAGTGGGAGTCGAACCTGGGACCTCTGGTTCCATTGACTAGGTCCTCAGCCACTCGGCCATTCAGTAATAGAAGTTTTAGTTGGACTGAAACAGGAAAAAAAATGGCAAAAAAAATCTTGGCGGGAGTGGGAGTCGAACTCGGAACCTCTGGCTCCATTGACTAAGTCCTCAGCCACTCGGCCATCCAGTAATTAAAGTTTCAGTTGGTTTGAAACAGTAAAAAAAATAGCAAAAAAGTAATGGCGGGAGTGGGAGTCGAACCTGAGACATCTGGTTCCATTGACTAGATGCTCAGCCACTTAACCATCCCGTAGTCGAAGTTTTAGTTGGTTCTGAAACAGATAATAAACGGCAAAAAAAATTAATGGCGAGAGTGGAGGTCGAACCTGGGACCCCTGGTTCCATTGACTAGGTCCTCAGCCACTCGGCCATCCAGTAATTGATGTTTAAAGTGGTCTGGAACAGAAAAAAAATAGCAAAAAAGTAATGGCGGGAGTGGGAGTCGAACATGAGACATCTGGTTTCTTTGAATAGATCCTCAGCCACTTGGCCATCCAGTAATCGAAGTTTTAGTTGGTCTGAAGCAGAAAAAAAAAATGGCAAAAAAAGATGGCGGGAGTTGGAGTCGAACCTGAGACCCCTGGTTTCATTGACTAGATCCTCAGCCACTCGGCCATTCGGTAATCGAAGTTTTAGTTGGTTCTGAAACAGATAATAAACGGCAAAAAAAAATTAATGACGAGAGTGGAGGTCGGACCTGGGACCTGGGACCCCTGGTTCCATTCACCAGATCCTTAGCCACATAGGCTCTTTCAGAACCGATTTTTTAGCCGCATTCAAAATTTGAATTTTTGTCTGAAACGGCAAAATAGTGATTTACACGAGTAGGATTCGAACCCAGGTTCGATTCGAACCCTTTTCCCGCCCACCAGAGCCTCTAGCCACTCGGCCATTTGTTCATCAATTTGGTGATGTACAACTCACGGAAAGGCTACAAGCGTAGAGAGTCAGAAAGTTCTATATTTGTCATCGGTGGAGGTAGAGAAAATGGCAAAAGCATACTCGCATGGGTAGGAGCCGAACCCACGACCCTTTTGCTGCCCACCAGAGCCTTAGGCCTCTCGGCCATTCGTTCATCTCTTTGCCGGCTATTGAGATTGATTATACGGCTATAACCGGGGAGCATCAGAGCCAGGAGTTTTTCGGTTGAGTTAGAGAAAATGGCAAAAGTAGATTCGCAAGGGTAGGAGTCGAACCAAAGTCCCTTAGTCTCTAGACAGCGCCCTAGACCTCTCGGCTACCTGAAAGTTTTCAGCCGCTGTTTACATGCCGATGCCGAATCCGATCGAAGGTGTTCCTCCCGGCCTCGAATATCTCAGCTACGTTGATAGTTTGATCGTTTATCAGGTGATTTTTCGATTTTTTGACTTTTTCCCCTTGGTTCTAAGTTCACGATTTGTCTTTCAGCTCAAAGAACTCATCGAAATCGTGACGAATTGGGAGACCAAGAATAAATACGTGCTAAAGAACGCCAATGGAGACCAGGTAAAAACGAAAAAAGTGGAGATTTGCCCGTAGTTACAGTAGGAAGACCTGCACATCTAAGAAATTAGAAATTTTTTTTTGCGAAAAATCCGAATCCCGTTGCTAATAGGACTGAGGCTATGAAAATATGAGATTTTCCCGTAGTTACAGTAGGAAGTTTTTCACCTGCTCATCTAAAAAATGACAAGTCTTTTTCGGGGAAAAACGCAGATGATTATATAATACGAACTATGAAAAAATAAAAAAATCAACTCCAGGTGTTTTTGACGACGCCCCGTTCACTTTTTCCGTAAAGTTCTGTGTTTTGTGTGCATGCGCCGCGGCGTTATTGCACACTAAATCGCATCAAATTAGTTTCAATTTGATCAAAAAATTTTTGTTAATGGAAGGAAATGCGAAACCAAAAAACACGGTGGGCGGAGTCAAAAGCTGCTCCCACGTGACGTCATGGGGACGGCAGAGATGCGTAAATAAAATGGCATACTATTAAAGGCGCAGACGGCCGTATTTGCAAGAGGTCTTTGAGACGAACGGGATTTTCTGCGCGTAAGCGGCACTGTGCATGCACACGACACACGAGACTTTACGGAGAAAAAAAAACGCCGTGTGATCCGCCTCATGACCGATGCAATCGCAGAGGCATGCGCCTTTAATAAGCCCTGTTTTCAAGCTCCTCCGCCGTTCTCATGACGTCACCTGGGAACGGCGGAAGTTATCTTGGCTCCCCCTTTATCTTCCACTAGTAAAAACGCCCCTGACCTTTACCTTTTTCTCCAGATTTACTACGCCTTCGAAGAATCCGAGTGCTGCGAAAGACAATGCTGCGGTCCGCAACGCGGCTTCACCATGCACATCGTCGACAACTTTCAAGAGGGTAGATCCAGAACCCCCAGTTTGAAAAGAGAATACCGAAACGCGTCAGGAAGTCCTGACCCTCCGACGGCCCTTCAAATGCTGCGGCGGGGCCTGCTGCGGATGTTGCGGCTGTATCGGATGCTGCCAGCAAGAGTGTTCCGTCGAGTCGCCCACCGCGGGATATGTGGGCGTTTATTCTTTTCTCAAGAACTATCGGATAGTCTTTTTTTGGAGAAAAATTGTGCTCCTAGACTGTCAAGTTTCAAAAGTACACAGCTGAAAAAAAGCTACCGTATACGCAGAAAAGGTCTTGAAGCGAAATGGGATCAAATTCGATCTTATTTGGTATATGGTAATTTTGACAGAAAAAAAATCATAACAAAATTGAATTCTATTCAGCCAATTTTCCACGAGTTAAAAAACGTAGATTGGCAATGTGACGCGTTGCGTACGCGACGCGGTTTTTTGGCGGGAAGCTCGAGGTCGAACGCAATCATGGAAAAATGTAGAGGAATACGTTTTTCTTTATTATTCACTTTTTTCATTCAACTCGCCTTAAAATCCCTATATTACGAGGATAAAACATAAAAAAAGGCTGGCTCAAATACCTCGCTAAAAAACCGCATCGCGTACGCAACGCGTCACTCTTGCCAATCTACCCAACTCGCCTTTTGATGGGGGAAGGCCTCGACAAAATCACTCGGGCCTCGGTAACGAAAATCGGACGTTTCTGAGAAGTACCATCACTTAAGAGCGCTGACGCTACTTAAGTGGCCACTAGAAATGCTCCGACACGCCCGATTGAAGTTACCAAGGCCCAAGCATACAACGAGATGGCTACTTTTTGGAATTATAGATGATTCACTGCTGGCTTGAGCCATCAAAAAGAGTCCTGACACAATAATACGCAAAATATTGCCTGGCTCTTGGAGAGCACAGACAAGCCACGCCCCCTTAGCGTCCAAAGTTGGCCGTGAATCAGCTATACCGTAATTCTTTCCGTCATTTTGAAGGATATTTCTCGAATATTTGCCTCAAATTTGCAGCTGGGCACGATCCGTCAACGGCAGTCCTGCTGTTCCTCGGCTTTTCCACCTGCTCGACGCAAATAATACCGAAATTCTCAAAGTTTCCCAAGACGATCAATTTTTAAATTTCGAATCAATCTTTCCAGATCGACGGCCCTTGCTGCTGCCTCATGATGGGCTGTCAGGACAAAGAGTTCCCGGTAGAAAAAACTGAAGCTTTTCCAGAAAAAAAACCGCTTTTTCCAGGTCTCCTCACTGTCGGATCAAACGATCGGAGCGATCAAAAAACGCTGGGGCGGCTGTTTCCGCGAAGCGATCACTGATGCCGACGTCTTCAGCGTCGATTGTGAGGATCTTCTGAAGATTTGGGGAGAAATATGAGAAATTTTGAAAAAAGTGTGAGAAGGGACCCTCAAAGCTTCAAAATTCGCTCTCTTTCACTTTTTGACCGCATTTGGAATGGCTTGAGGTGTAGCGGTTGCGACGCGGCTTAGAAGAGGTGGCTTTGAGATTCGAGAAGATTTTAGGTGAACCTTTAAAATAGCTCAAAAACCCTTAAATTAGCTTTCAAATCTTTGAGAGCTTGTGGCCGCATTCGGAATGGCTCAAGGCGATGCGGTTGCGACGCGGTTAGAAGTGATGGCTTTGAGATTCGAGAAGATTTTAGACTAACCTTTAAAGAAGGTCATGAGCCCCTGAAAGTTGCTTTTGAATATCTGTAGCGTCTTTATCGGAATTTGAGAGCTTGTGGCCGCATTTGGAATGGTTTTAGGTGTAGCGGCTTAGAAGAGGTGGCTTTGAAACTCGAGAAGATTTTAGGTGAACCTTCAAAAAAGCTCATAGACCCCTTTAAAAGCTGCTTTCGTAGCAATTTCTTTGACTTTGAGAACTTTTGGTGGCCGCATTTGGAATGGCTCAAGGCGATGCGGTTGCGACGCGGTTAGAAGTGATGGCTTTGAGATTCGAGAAGATTTTAGATGAACCTTTAAAGAAGGTCATGAGCCCCTGAAAGTTGCTTTTGAATATCTGTAGCGCCTTTATCGGAATTTGAGAACTTTTGGCCGCATTCGGAATGGCTCAAGGCGTAGCGGATGCGACGCGGTTAGTAGAGATACTCTTGAAATTTAAAGAAAATGTGCTTGGAAATTCCTGCAAAAGCTTCTCGTGAGTTTTTAGAGCCCCTATGGACCTTTGAGAACTTGTTGCCGCATTTGGAATGACTCAAAGTCTAGCGGCTGATTCGCATCGGACTCCTAAACGACTTGCGCGCATGAAAACGTTTTTGAGCGGTTTTGGAGTTTATAGCCATTAATGGAACGACTATTAGTTCACAAGCCTTTAATGATTATCATTAGATGCTCAGGCACACTAGGTTACGGTAATTTCCATAAAAATCGGACAAAATTTTAGTTCCCATCGATATGGACGTCAAAATGAAGGCTGTGATGCTTGCCGCCACCTTCCTTATTGTAAGTTTCTCACGGTTTTTGCCATTTTTTGTTGTTTTTGTGGATTTTTCTGTTTGGTTTCAGTTTCCGCACGCTTTTTTAACCTTCTAACTTTCCTCAAAATCAGCACCAACTTTTCAGGATTTTGTCGAGTTCGAGAGCGAAGCCTGAACGATCTTCTACGTCTTTTTTTTCGATTTTTTCTTGATTTTCAAGCTTCTCATCCACTTTTTTAGTTCTGCACGGGTGTTTGGTATGTTTCCTGTTCACTGTGCGCTTAAAATAAGTTTGTTTTCGTGGAGGACCCTTTTAGAAGGGAGCCTATGCGCCTTTAAATTTCAAAGTGTTTGGTGACTCATTTTTCGGTTATATTATCACTTTTCAATTTTTCACGTTATGTTTGTAAGTGCACAAAAATATCAAGGCATTTATTCTAATTTTCGTGTCGAAGTCTCGTTTGAAGCGCACTTTATGCGCCTTTAAATTTCAAAGTGTTTGGTGACTTATTTTTTGTTTTTGCACAACAAACTTGTAAGATCTTCGCATAAGATGTCAAAGCATTAATTATAATTTTCGTGTCGAAACCCTTTTAAAGCGCACTCTATGCGCCTTTAAATCAAGACGCTTTTTTCGAAGAATTTTCAAGTTTCATGATTTTTTAATGATCATTTTCAATAAGAAAATAATTCACGAATCAAATTATCATTAAAAAAAAATTAAATAGATCCTTCGAAAAATGGAAATTTAAAGGCGCATGGGCACTGATTCAAATGATAACTTCAAGCGAAATTAATTCTTAAGCCGTCTGTGAATGGATTATAGTTTTAACTCGTGTATTTCATGCTTCCTTTCAGTTTCCCGCACCTGTCCCGCTTGACTTTCACTAATTTCCCGGTCAGATCTCAATTTGAACATTTCCAGGACTTTATGGAATTCGAAACGCCTCAAAACAACAACAACTGAGCCGCGAATTGACATTTCGAACCTTTTTCAGTTCAATTTCTGGATCTGATGCTTTTTCGCATAATTTTGATGATTTTCGTGTTACCATTCCATTTTCTGACACTTTTATGAGCTAAATTGTGATATTTCTTTTGAATGCATATTGAAGCTTTTTGAGCATAATAAACTAATTTCAGTTCGTTTTGAATAAAAAATTTTCTGAAAAAAAGTTTTTTTTGAAAGAGAGAGGTTACTGTATCAACTGCGACTGCAAGCACGGCGATCCTCGCTTGCGGCAAAAACGTTTTGTTTTACGACACTGCCGATTTCTACTCTTTTTCGTGTAATTTTTATAATTTTAGAAAAAACCTGTTAAATTAAAAAAATGGGAAGTATAAGGAGATCCCCAAAAGCCAATTTTTCTTGCTCGAAACTAGTAGATGCCATGTTTCACGAGCACTTTTTTCTTGCTTCTATAGGTCATTCCGCGCCAGCTTGTCACGATTTTAAATTTTCTCGGAGCTAGAGAACCAATTTCGGCGCTTCGCTTCGATGCTCTCGGTGTTCACCCTCTGCGTGCGCCTTTAATAAAACTCATTATTTCCGAACTTTGGAATTTTTCTTATTCTACAAAAAAACAGTTGTAACATCAAATTTTATATCAAACTAACCCAAAAAAATTATATACAAGAAAAAGCTCGAACAGTCGGTTTCACTAATAACAATTAAAAAAAGTAATAATTCAATATTTTTTTGATTTTCTTTTTTTTATAAATCCAGCACAGAACCTGAGTGTGTATAGTTAAAGCGAAAAAGGAAACCAATCCATTAAAAACAACCTCGTAAATTAATAAAAGAGATAGAGAAAATTGAAGCAATATCTTGATCAAAAATAATGTTTTATTAAAGGCGCACACAAGGGGGAACACCGAGAGCATCGAAGCGAAGCGCCGAGATGGATTCTCTAGCTCCGAGGAAAATTAAAATCGTGACAAGCTGGCGCGGAATGACCTATATCCAAGTTATTTTCATTTTGAAAAAAAAAATGGATCAAATACATTTAATTTTTTGGCACTTTAGCTATTAAATGGGTGGTTCGAACGAATTTTATCAGAGAAAATATTTCTTTTTGTGTCTTTTACGAAAAAATTTTAATTTATTTTGGTTGCTGTATCGATCACGGCTGCAAACACTGCAGGTATAAACTTGCGGCGAATGTTTTTATTTTACGCGCACTACCATTTTCGCTTCTTTTTCCATGTAATTTTCATAAATTTAAAACTTCAGTGTTTATTGAAATTAAGCTGTATGAGCCGTTTTTTTAACAGAAAAAAACTACCGCATTAATGTTTAAAAAAAGTGATTTATCAAAAAAATATTAGTTATGCATATTTTATTCCAATTATTTTCATCAAAAAAACGTTTTTTTGATCGGTAATTCATTACGTAAAAAAATTTATTATAGAGTTTTTTTATCCAGCCTTTTTCAGCGGTTTAGAAAAAGAAATATTTCAATTTTATTCGAAAAAGGATCTGATGAAAAGGCTTTTTTTTTGTACACTTTGTTTTATATTTTCTGTATCATTTCAGAATGTGACAAAAACAACGTTCAAAATGAATTTCAAAAGCGAAACCCCGACGGAAAACAATCAAAAATGGCGAGTCTGATGAGCCAAAATTTTTGATCTGACGCCGGGGGGTCAAAGCGGCGGAGGTTCGAGAAGAATCTCTGGATTGGCGGGAAAGGTCAGCCGTCCCAAAAACAATCGTCATTCTGTCATTTTCTACGTTCCCGGGGGTGTGTTGCTGCCGCTCGTCCCAATTTTTGAATTTGTTGTTTTAATTGAGGTTTTTCGATAGTTTTGCTCGTATTATTTCAATTTTATCGATAATTTTGAATCAATGAGCCTTTACTGAAGGTTTTAGGCGTTAATTTATGGTTTTTTTTTTAGTTCGAAAAGTGTTTTTTATTTGAATTTCATGTCGATGTTTGTTTAAATATCCTTACAGGACTGTTTAAAGGCGCAGAGAGTTCGCATGACAATGGAAACGGTTATTCGCTTCGAGACTTTCATTGATTTGACCCCTGCGCCTTTAAATTTTCCAAGGAGATTGTTCTAACAAACTTTTCCAGAACTTTTTCACCGCTATGTTGAATATTCAAAATTGATAGAAATGCTGTAATTTTTAGTAATTAACAATTTTTTCGCGATAAAGCGTTCAACTTTTACTTTTTCGGTTTGAATAAGGTTTTTTTTCTGTAAATTTTCTGTCGAAGTTTTTTTTTAAAAATATTCTTGCAGGACTGTTTAAAGGCGCAGAGAGTTTGGATGACAATGGGAACGGTTATTCGCTTCGAAACTTTCATTGATTTGACCCCTGCGCCTTTATATTTTTTAGCAACGTTTTGAACCAAACTATTTTTTCTAGACAACCTTCTATCGATTTTTCTCGTTGAACGTCGTTTCGCGCTTTTTTTCCTGAATAATTTTCAAATTTTTTTGTTTCAGGCAGTTCAAAGGCTATTCAAATAGGCAATGCGACTATTCGACGGTTCAAAAAAAGCTTCCTGAATTTAAATATAAGTTTAAATATTGTGTACTGTTACTAATTTGAAAGTTTTCCAGAAAATATTTGTTGCGAATTTTTTTCCAACAGCGCGACTTCCGGTCACAGGATCTGGAAACGCGAGTAAGTTTAGGTTTGTTTAAATTTTTTTTTTGTTCGATATCCTTCTTTTGGAATCGGAATCGTCCAAAACTGGGGCGTGCTGGGCGTTGTCCACTCAGGAAAATTCTCGAAATCCAATAAATTCAGATCTCCTTTTTCATTTTTTTGTCGCAATTTTTTTTCTCAAATATTCAATCAACTTCTAAAAATTCATTCAAGATTCTTTTAAAAAAAAACAAAGTTCGATCAAAACCTTGTGGCGAAAAAAATGGAAAGAAAATATATTTCTCACTTTTTTTTGTTCTCTGAATTTTTTTCAGTTCAAGTAGTTTCAAATTTAAGTTTGAAAACAACGTTTTTAATTTCTTTTATTTTTCAGTTAATTCTAGCTTTTTAGAAGTAAATAAATTTCGCTTTTTCAGATTTATTTTCCAAATGTTTTCGAAAGCAAAAAAAAGGTTTTGAAAAATTCCGCCAAAAAAACTTTCTTTTTTTTTAGATCATTTTTCGGTGATTTTTTTCCAGAGTAGCACTAGTTTTGAAGCCATCCCTGAGACCTAGAATGTTCATTTCAATGAAATTTGAACGTTGTTTTCAGGCTTTATTCTCTCACTTTAACAAGAAACTTCAAAAGTCGATAATTTATTCGATTCCGAGAGTTTTCCTGGGAAAATGGCCCGAGGTCGGCGCCCTTTTTTTCTTGCCTGGGTCTCGGGTGGATGGTCGACTAACTGATGCAAATGTTCCGCCGATCGACTTTTTGGATTCTTGCCAATAAAGTTCTCTATTTTTTTGGTCTCACTTTATCAATGTGTTTTTGTGTTGCGGATCCGGATTTATTTCTCCAATTCCAGGCTTTTTGAATAGTCGTATCGCATCGAACCAACATTGCAATGTTTCGAAAAAAATTTCAGACAGTTGCAAATTTTTGTAAAATTGTAAAAACTTTGCTCAATTTTTAATTTTTGGTTCAGCTTACAAAAATTTTCCCATTTTCAATTTACAAGGAGTAAAGGTTTTACGCTATTTTTACTTTTAATCAAAAAGATTATTAAAAAAATGTCTTTTTAGAATAGTTGTGAAGCCACACTTGTCTTCAAGAATTATTTTTGTTATTTGAATTTATATTTCTCCAAAAATTTCAATATCTTCGAAAAACGCTCCATAAATTTCTATACAAAAAAACATAGTAGCTTTTTTTCGAACTTGACTTTTTTGTTTTAAAATTTCCGAGTGGATTCATAATCATTATCTGATAGTTTAACGCTTGTCACTAGCGGTTAAAAGTTCTTATTACAGTCTTTGAAAAAAATTTTTCAACTTTTTTTCTTGTCTTTAGATGTCGTTTCAAAAAAATGTTTGGATTTCAAAAAGTTGAGAAAAATTTTTTTATCATGACTTGAAAACTTCATGAGAAGAGCTAGTGTATCAAAAAAACTTTCTTTACGATTTTTTTGAATTTTTTGAATTTTGTAAGATTGTTAGTTTAGTATTAACTTTATTCACTTTCGTTAATCATCAAGTTTGGATCTGCAATGCAATTAAAAAAAAAAGAAACGAATTTGTTCAAAGAGTTTGTTCGGCAGAGCTCTTGCATCCGTTAGTTTTGACTGGGGTTTTTCGAATAAGGGGTCAATTTTTTTTTTCCCAAGGGGGAGTCAATAGAGAAGCTCTTTGAAAAAAGACAAATCCATTGAGATCCGCTCGAAAAATTGAGATTGTCGATTGATTTGATGAATCAGTGGATAGCAAAGGGATCTTTGGAAAAGTCATGCAAAAAACGAGTTTTTCTGATATCAATGTTGGAGGCGACTTAAATTGTAAGGTTCTGATTAATTTCTTGATATTTTTTTGATTTTCAAGTTTTTTCCGAAAGATAGGAGAGCTAGACCAAAAAGGTTTTGGTTTTTTCAATATTCACGATTTTTTGTAGCTTTTTCTCACCTAGCTTCTTTGAGAATTGTGTCAAGGGGATTTCGCATCGGCAACTTTTAGAACTTTAAGGCAATCAGTATTCAAATCTTGTTTCAAAAACCGTAATTTTCGGATCAAAGTTTCAACTTTCAAAATCTCAACCTAAAGCTGAACAAAATTAGCTTTGTATAAAAATTTTTTTTTTTGAAATTCAGAAGACCTTTTTTTTCACGACTGATTGGAAAGTTATCAGGTTGCGATTTCATCCTTAAATCTTGAGAAAGTTTAAAAAAAAATTTGAGCTCTGAAATTGATGAAAAAGTTCAACCCACGCTCAGCTTTTTTGAAGCTTCAAGCTCTTCGAAAAGACCTAAAAAACAGCGTGGTGAATCTTTTTATTGAACTTGGAGCTTAGAAAATAGTTTGGTAACTTCCATTGAGATTTGGGTGATAGACGTTCATAGTAGAGCTTCAGTCGTAGAGCATTCCAAAAAAATGCATCCATTAAACACTTGCAATTTGAAGCTTCAACGTTGACTTCAGAAGGACTTTTGCATGGCTTTTCCAAGAATTCCTTAGCCATTCACTTGCTCATCGGGTCAGTTGATGAGCTCAACTCTGAGCACCTCTTGATGGGCTTTTCAGAGAGCTTTTCTCTTGGCTTCCTTGTGGGACTTGCAAAAAAATTGACTCTTTATTCGAAGGCTTCCAGTCAAAAAGGCCGTTCACCAAGGCCTTGGCAAGAAAAAAGGGCTTGGCCTCGGGCCATTTAAGGAAGGCGTTCAGGACGCTCCAGATTTGGAGGGTTCCGAGATCAGAAGGGAGGGAAATCGAGGGGGCCAATGGGGAGGGTTTCAGGTCGATTGATGTGACGGGATGGATGCCGGACGACGTCGTACTCCGAGGGCGGCATCGAACCGGACACTCTGAAACATGATTTTGAATAAAGTATTCTCCTCCCCCGTTTGTACTTGGTTTTGTCCGGCAGGGTCAGAGCCGCTGCCGGACTTGGGGAATCAGGTGCCGGATGGTCACCTCGATCTCGAGCTCCACAGCCCCTGCCTCTGGAGTCTGAGGCGGAGTCTCCAGCCCGGGCCTTAAGGGCCCAAGCCGAAGTCGCCAGCCTCAGACCCCACAGGCAGGCTGTGGAGTCCGAGCCGGAGGCCAAGTCTTCGGTAGGTGGCTTGAGGCCTGGTGAGAGTACTGCTGAGCGTGGTTTTCTTCTCCCTCCAACCTCGCCAATGGACAGTGTTCTGCGATGGCTCACTCATGCTCTTTTTGTTCCATCACAACTTCCAAGCTTCATCCTGAGCCAGCTTGAGCTCGAGCTCTTTCCATTTGGTGGCCAGATTCTTTGAAAAGGCATGCTGGACTTGTATCATGTTGAAAAAGTGCTCTCAAAGTTTTTTTTTGGGTGAAACCTTCAAGCTTTTTCTGAGCACTTCTTGCATTCACTCAAGGCAGTCACGTCCTTCAAAAGGTAGTGAGAAGAAAAACAAAGTTTTTGGTTCGACCTTTGAAAAAATCGAAGTTTTCGGAAAACTGAGTAAAAGTTTTGAAGTATTCTTTTGAAAAAATACATGTTTTTGAATATGTTCTTTTCTGGAAGTGACTGACTCTAATGAACCTAAAAAGATCTTGAACCGCAAAAAAAGCATTTCAGAAAAACTTGAGATTTTCAGAAAGTTCATCTGCATGGCTTGTCAAGTTTTTTGAACTGCACCAAAGTCAATCACTTGATCCATCTATTTATCAATTAGAACATTAAAAAAAGATTTGAAAAAGTTGTCTTTGAAAAGAACCTTTCGAAAAATAGCCCTAGAAAGAAAAAAGGGTTTTGATGATTTTTTTATAATTTGACATTTATTCAGTGATTGACAATGGTGAGCTTTTTAACTTGAAAAATCCTATTATTTTCCAAAAAAATTTCTCAAAACGGTCAAAATATTTTTTTGTTTGGCCATTACTTATTGAATGCGTTGAGATGGAGAAGAATTCGAAATTCAAAAATTTATTAAATCTGAGAAGCCTTGCAGATGAACTATGAAAAGTTCAAAATTCCAAAATTCAAGAGCACACTTTTCGCACAGGACACAAGCCTGCACGTTCATTTCAAATGATCTGACGACCAAATGAAAATAGTTCGAGCCCACTTTGGCTCAGGATGAAACTTGGAAGTTGTGACGGAACAAAAGGAGCAGGAATGACCTCGCAAGACACTGTCAGGTGGCACCCGAACCCATGCAGATGTACACAATAATACTGATTGTTTGAGTGAAATCGATTTTTTTTAAATTCTTGAACAAAAAAAAGAAACGTTCTTGGGGGACTCTTGACGAAGGTCCGAAGTCTATCTACAATTTGAAAAAAAAACCTAAGAGTTTGAAAAAACCGCAATAAGCTCATGAACTTCAACTCGATCGCTTAGCGAAAAAATTTTAAGCTCAAATTTTTTTTTTGACATGAACAATCTTACAAAAAATGGCTCGGGATTTCAAGAAAATAAGACGTTTTTGAAAGAAAAAATGGCCAAAATAAGAGATTGTGAATCTAAAAAAAGAAATAATAAGACGTTTTTAAAATAAGATGTTCCGTAAAGCGACCAAGTTTGAAGCTCATGAATCTATTGATCTTTAAAAAATTCTTTAAAAAATATTCATTTACCTGTATTCCGTAAAAATGTAACAGTTTTGAAAATAACCTTGAACTACACAGTGCAAAAAAGAAAACTGAGTTCTCATAAAGATCCGAACCTTCGTCGTAAGTTTTCCAAACCCTTTTACTAACCATTAGACCAACCAGCAAATTGAGTATCTCTGCATGAATTCGGGAATCATATCAGGTTGTGTACAAATAAATCTCGCTTTTCCTCGATCAATGCTAATTGACAATAAACATGAAGGCTACGAAAATTCATCTAGAAAACGGAAAGTGTCCGGCTTGAAAAAAAATTGAACGATCAGAGTATATACCTTTACAAACTGAATCTTAGATTATCTACCTGCAAAAAAAAATTCAAAAGCTCAGATCTATTACCTATCACCAGAGGCCGGATGTCTGCTTATAAACTCAAGAATGAAAAAAATTTATATGAGGGCTCTAAAAATTTCGACAAAAGTGATAAAAATGCCCTTTTTTGAAACGCCCTATGCTCAAGTTCAGAAAAATTCAAAAGTTCATAATCTACAACGAAACCAAAATTAAAATCGGGTGTACGATGATTCAAAGCCTTTAAATGGATGCCAGAATTCCTGCTTTTTTTTTGTTAAAGTTCTCGTTCTTTTCAATCAAAAGTGTTGGCAAGAAGTGTAACTACGGATACCTAAAACCATTTATGGACTTTAAGCTTCATACATTCGATTTCAAGGCTACAAACATTGCCTACGGGATTAAAAACTATAAATATCGTTGTCACTCATTCTAAAAAAACCTATTTCACAGTTCAAATCTTAAAGCTAAGAATGTCAAAAATTGGATTTTTTTCATTAAAGTAAACAAATGAAAGATCTTGTAAGTACTGAAATGAGAAATTAAAAAAATTTTCGGAGTGAAAAAAATTTTTGATGAGAATTAGAACCGTTTTCGAAAATCTTCTAAAAAAGCAGCTCTTGAATCTCTTTGAAAAAAAACTATGAGGAGCTTACTTTTTCAAAACTCAAATGATCATAGTTTTTGAGGAACCCTGTTATTTTATCTAAACAGAATGAAAGAATGCCGCAAATCCTTAAAACGAGGAAAAACAAATTGGAAAAAGTAATTTTATTCGGTTAATGGGTAGCTTGATTTGAAAAAAACACAGTAAATTCGAAAAAAAAAGCGAAGTTTATCTGTACACAACCCAATCTACTGAACGCCGCCTTCGAATTGACGAGCTCGGAAGGGAAAGAAAAGCCTCGCCCCACAGTACCCTCACTCAACAGAGGAAAAGGCGCATGTATGCTCGGGTGAAGCCGGCGAGAGAGCGTGGAATTTTCGGAGAGGGCAGACTACAGCTCTCTTCTTTTTCTGTACTCTCTCTCTGGCCGGACAAAAGCCGAGGGATACATCCGTCTTTTTCTCTGCGCCACCACCGACCGAAGACGCCGGCAACATTCACCCCACGGACAAGGGACGGACAAGGATATTTTTCTCTTCTCGAAAGTTCAACTCGGACTTAAAAAAAGGAAGCTAGAACGGTAGATGATATCGCATGAAACTGGCTCAGAAAAAAAATTACTGAAAAGGCAAAAAAAAGGAATTTGAAACGACAGGCTTTTTTGCATCTAACAGCTCATGTGAAAAAAATCACTATGAAAAATAATGAGAAAAAAATTTAATTTTTTTGAAAAACCCTAAAAACTTGTAAACTTACGGGTCAGCCTGTCAAGTCGAAAGCAAGGTTTTTTTCTTTGATAACATGAAAAAAACGGTTTGAATATGGAAAAAAATTAATTTTTTTAAACACCTACTTTCTTGGAAACTAGAAAAAAATTATTAGGAAAAAAATAAGTTGTAAAAAAAATATGAATAAAAAAATTGACCCTTTTGATAAGATTTTTTTTCTGAATTCTAACTAAAAAAAGACCGAAAGAAAAATTTGAAAAAAATTAGGAATGGATGAAAAAAAGTTGTGCAACGCGGTCGCGCAAAAAAACTCTTCTAAATCTCCACCTTGAAATTTCAAAAGAATATTGGAAAAACTTGGAAAAAAAGACGGGTTCGACGCTGATTGAAAAAAATAGCGAAAAAAATAAAATTCTGATTTTGAAAGTAAAAAAATGATTTTCTGATTCTTGAACTAAAAAAAGCTGGAAACGTGTTGAAAAATTGAATGAATTTGCATAAAACTTCGAGAAACTTGAAAAAAATTGATTTGCAGCTGACGGCTTGACAAGTTGATCCCTCATAGACGATGGTACGATTTTTATCTCAAGTCCGTAAGTTTTTCGGAGCCGTTATCTCAGAGTACCGTAATCTTAAGGCTCACAAATTCAAACACAAAAAAATTCAATTTTTTAAATTTTTTTTTTCAAAAAAATTGTATTCTGAGCACGAAACAAGAAATAAAAAACAAAAGAGGCAAAAAAGAGAAAGAAAATTGAGGTCCATGAGATTACGGTCCTCTGTGATAACGGCTCCGAAGATTTGCGGACTTGAGATAAAATCTTATAGACAAAAAACAAAATTACAAACAATCAAATTAACAACGAATTGTGAAAAAATCAAGTTTGGCAAAATATTGCAGGGGTGTTGAACCGCAGCGCGACCGCGTCGCATCTAACGAAACTCGGCGGAATCGTTCAAAAATCTATGCGCGGGAAGCTCCATGCGATACCATCCGGAGGAAAAACTAAAAATGCCTGGAAAAAAATTATTAAAAAAACTCTAGTTGAAGTTTTGAGAAGAGGAAAATTTGACACAGAACTTTCTTCGTTGAGAAACGTTGTTTCTAGGAAGTCGATTGAAAAAAAAAAATGGAAAATTCAAGTTTTTTTAAACGTTTCTCAACGCAGAAAGCAACACTGAAACATTTGAAATCGTTACCAATCCGGGTCGATCCCTCGATAACGACGTCGAAGTCGCGATCCATCGGCCTTCTGAATAAAATCGATAAAAATCAATAACGGATTCAAGTTACCTAGCGAAAATCCTGAACAAGCATCCTCGAAAATTCCTGCTGGAGGTTTTAAAGGCTCGGGAGTTGATTTGAGGTTTCAAGACAAAAATTAGCTCTTTTAAAGACCCCAGCAAAAAATTTGGATTGGACCAAACGACCTCTTGACTTCAGGTTCCTGAGAAAAAGCTATGATTAGTACTGATCACGTAAATATTTAACTCATCTTCTGAAAATTGGCGCTTTGAACTATTCAAACTCCCTTGCCGTGGGTTGCTCAAAGGCGCAAGCGTAAAATCGAATTTACGGAAAAAAAGATGGGATTTTGAGTGGATACTTGCGCCTTTGAACAACCCAGCAAGGGATTCAGAATAGATTGTAGAGTGGCCCTCCTTCAGGAATCTCGGTAGTCGCCTGTAATCAAAGAATATGTTGAAAAAAAGGAGAATAAACGCGAATTGAGAGAAATCGATAGAATGTTCAGCAGTCTAGAAAACATGGTTTGCTTCAAAATGTGGCTGGAGAATTTAAAGGCGCAGGGGTCAAATCAATGAAAGTCTCGAAGGGAATATCCGTTTCTATTGTGATTCAAACTCTCTGCGCCTTTGAACAGTCCTGCAAGGATATTTAAACAAACATCGACATGAAATTCAAATAAAAAACACTTTTCGAAACAAAAAAAACTGAACGCTTTTACACGGAAAAAGTATACATTATTAAAAATTCCAGCATTTCTCTAAATTTTGAACATTCAACATAGCAGTGAAAAAGTTTGTTAGAACAATCTTGCTGGAAAATTTAAAGGCGCAGGGGTCAAATCGATGAGAGTCTCGAAGCGAGTAACCGTTTCCATTTTCATTCAAACTCTCTGCGCCTTTAAACAGTCCTGCAAGGATATTTAAACAAACATCGAATACATAAGTTCAAATCAAAAACACTTTTCTAACTGGAAAAAAACCGAAAATGAACGCATAAAACCTTTAATAACGGCTCATTGATTCAAAATTATCGAAACAATTGAAATAATACAAGCAAAACTATCGAAAAAACCACAATAACAACAACAAATTCGAAAATTGTGTCGAGCGGCAGCAACACACCCTCGAAAAGGTAGAAAAAGAAGGAATGACGATTGTTTTTGGGACGGCTGACCTTTCCCGCCAATCCAGAGATTCTTCTCGAACCTCCGCCGTTTTGACCCCCCGACGTCAGATCAAAACTTTTGGCCTCATCAGACTCGCCATTTTTGACTGTTTTTCGTCGGGGTTTCGCTTTTAAAATTCATTTTGAACGTTAAATTCGTCAAAATTATCCCTAAAATGATACAAAAAGTATAAAACAAAGTATATAAAAAGCAATCTTTCCCATAAATTTCTTTCGAAATTTCCGAAAAAAATTAAAATATTTCTTTCTAAACCGCTGAAAACTCTAAATTCATTTTTTACGTAATAAATTACCGATCAAAAACGTGCTTTTCATAAAAAAAATTATCGAAATAAAATATGCATGAGCCTCCGGTATTTGTACAGATTGCCTCAGGTAAATTGGCAAGAGATTTTATTATATCATATTATAAAAACATCACCCCCTGATTCCAGAACAAAAAGAAAATTTATCGCAATATTTATCTTTTTCCCTCCCTGCAACATCACCATACCATCCCGATGTTGCGAAAAATAAACAAATTGAATTGAATTGAAAAAATAGATCTCGTTTTCGAGTTAGGACCCTTCAAAAGCCTTAAATAGCGCTTTTTTTTTGTCTGATTAGCGTATTTTGCACACTTTGAAGCTCCATAACTCGGAACCAAGATCTGTTGCGAGAAATTAAAAAAACGTCCCCTGGTAAGTGTACGGAATTATGTTTCTGAAAGATAAAAAAATCGCGGAAAAAAACAACTAGAGCCCAAAAAAATTAAAAAAATTTTAAACTTTAAAAAGTTCTCCAGTGTCTTCCTTCCACGTCATATGACCCATAATTTTATTCAAAATAAAAAAATTTCATTCTCTGCGAAAAAAAACGTGAAAACAAGGTCATTTTCTTGATAACGAAAAGATAACAAAAAAACGTGAACCAAAAAAAAAAAAAAAAACGTGAACCACGTGACGACGTGTCATTTATTTTTGTGACCCGGGTTAAAAAATCAATTCTGCTTCCCGCACGACTTCGTCTCGCTTCTGGTTCAACGTCAAGATAAGTTTTTTTGAGCTTCCAAAAAACTTCCAATTGCCCAAATAGTTCTGTGACTTGTAAGCGCTAGTAGATTAGGCCCGCGGGACTCCCGGAGTGCCGATCCTTTTCGCTTGCGAATCGGATACGCAAAGTCACGCCGAAGCCCATTCCGGTGGCCGAGGCACAAACTGTTGGCAGCGCGATGCTGACAAAGCGATGATGGGACCCCCGCGGAAAATGCCGTCACGGCTTTCGGCGTATAAGATTCTTAGTTCTGACAAGGCCGAGCGGAGCTCTAGCGCACCGCCTAGTTAGTTCTTCTGACTTTATAAAGCTTTCCTAACTTACCTACGACGTCACATAGCTAATCAGTAAAAATAAAAAATTATGATGCAATCGACTTGCTTTTTTCAATCTTGAAACTATTGCAGAAAGCCTTCAACGACCTTGTCCTGATCAGTCCATGAAGCACCGACAACAAATTCAAATGAAGCAGTTTGATATCTTAAAAATTCTTTTTTAATCACTTTTCCTTCAGAAAAAACGTCTTACGATCGAAAATTGGAAAATAATTCTACCGACTGCTACTGTAACTATTGACGAGAGGTTTTAAAGTTTTTAGTGTCGAAAAATTTTATGATGAGTAAAAAGAAGGCTTGATTTTATTAACACAGAATTAAAGTCAGAAAAAAAAATTGATACGATAACATAAGCAAAGTCGGAAAGAGTGGAAAAGGCTCCATAGAAATTTTCCTTTTAGTGTGAGGAAGGTTCCTTTTTGCGCCATTTTATCGGCTTCTGTGCACTATTTTTGATGTCTCTTCCTTTTTCCACGATTTCTTGAGCCTCCAAAAACCCAGAAAAATGAAAAGCTCGATGAAGGGATTCTTTCTGCGGCCTTTTTTTTCTTGCAAAAACGGTTTTGAGACATTTTACCAGCTAAAGTTCGAACTTAAAAACTAACTGTTTTTGTTGACCTTGTTAACCTATGTAATCGAAAACGCTCTACAAAACTGAATACTTTCAAAATCATACACTTTTTAATGAATGTAACAATGATTTTTTTCCGATTAGAAGAGAAAAAAATGGGAAAAAAATTTTTCCCCCGACCCGATTTTCAGGTAGTTTTTTTGATAATTTATCAAAAAAATTCTCATGACATTTGTTCAAAAGATTCATGTAAAAAAACATTAGGCTCATTTCAGAAAAACCTCTGAGAATAGAAAACCAACTGAAAAACGGTCCAGAAATGCGCAAAATTATTATAAAAGAAAGCGTGCGGCAGCGGGTAAACCGGTGGTATGAAAAACACCAGCGAAAAATTCAAACGGCGACTTTTTCCGATTTTTTTCATATCGCTAGGGAACTTTCCGACGGCCACCTTTCCGACGAATCCCTTTCCGACTTTTTTTCTCGATAAAATCTTCGTTTTAAATCTTCCTATATAAAGTAGGTAGTTGGTTCATGATTAATACACAAAGAAATAGGAAAAAAAAGTATTTATAGATGTTTTATAAACTGAAAAATATAAGGGAAAAAAAGTCGGAAAGAGATCCGTCGGAAAGTTCCCTAGCGATATGAAAAAATCGGAAAAGTCGCCGTTTGAATTTTCGCTGGTGTTTTTTTCATACCACCGGTAAACCGCGCGCGATGTGGAATAATCCGACGTTACCAACATGTTTGATTTTCAGCATGAAAGTATAATCATTCGATTCGTCTCATTGAGATACGTACGAATATCATAAAATTATTTGGCGCTAGTAAGAAGAAATAACTTTATGGTGTGCAAAAACCAGAAAAAAAACTCCAAAAATTTCAAAAATTTCGCTTCATTTTTCGACGCTGATTCAATTCAACTATCGCTACTGCGCCATGAGAAAAAAAACCTTTTAAAATAGAAAAAATATGAAAATTATTTTAAAAAAATCGAAAACTAATAAAGTTCATCTTAAATTTTTTTCTAAGTGGTCAGCGCCGAATAATTTTATGATATTCGTACGTATCTCGACGAGACGGATCGAATGGTTATACTTTCATGCTGAAAAATCAAACATGTTGGTAACGTCGGATTATACCCGCGATTTTTTTAACCATAACTTTTTTCTTAGTGAACCTTTTCTCGAAAACTAAATGGATTATGAAAATCGACCTCTATTAAAAAAAGTGTAAAAAAACATATTTTTTGAATCATTTTGAAAAAAATGGCTTGCGGTCTCTACTTTTATCTTTGAAAATTCAGTTATTCGCGTTGCAAGAAGTTCGTCAAATCAAATTCGCGACGACCTTTTCGAGCTTGATCCAAGGCGGACAGAGATCGATCACCTGCGAGGCCGACTAGAGAATACCAGGTACCAGCCCAATGCTCTTAAAAGCAGCTGAGGGCTTTTTTTTCTGTGTTGAGTTGCAAAGGAGAAAAATAACACTAGTACACAAACTATAGTAAGCATTTGAAATGCTGAAGCCGCTGAAGAAATTATTAGAAATGCTATAGGTCGTTCCGCGCCAGCTTGTCACGATTTCCAGTTTATTTGGAGCTATAGTAGTCTTTTCGGCGCTTCGCTTCGATGCTCTCGGTGCGCCCCCTTGCGTGCGCCTTTAATAAAACTCATTATTTCCGGAATTGTAATTTTCTTATTTTACAAAAACAGTTGTAACATCAAATTTTATATCAAACTAACCCAAAAAAATTATATGCGAGAAAAGCTCGAACAGTCGGTTTCATTAATAACAATTAAAAAAAGTAATAATTCAATTTTTTTGATTTTTACAAATCCAGCACAGAATCTGAGTGTGTATATCTAAAGCGAGAAATGAAATCAATCCACTGAAAACAGCCTCGTAAATAATAAAAGAGTATATATATCTTAATCATAAATAATGTTTTATTAAAAGGCGCACGCAGGGTGAACACCGAGAGCATCGAAGCGAAGCGCCGAAATGGGTTCTCTAGCTCCGAGGAAATTCAAAATCGTGACCCGAACATTTTTTTCACAGCCTATTCTTCAAACTGACAAGATTTCAAGCATTTTAAAAACTATTATCTTAGAATTACAATTTCTAGAATTGGAAAAAATATTTCAGAGTATGCGATAGTGCGTCTGGACTCTGGGTTTGAAGAAAATTATCTGAAGTGAAAAAATAGCTCAGTGAACATAGCATAAAGAAATCAAAAAGAAATGAATAAGACAAAAAAAAAGGTAACGCCGTGTTTAAAGTAATAACCACGAAATTAAATTTTACTTTTTTCTTCGACTCTTCAAAATTAAGTTCTTTTTCACTGTGTGACCTCTATTTTCAACTTCGCGAAATCATTTCGAAAAGGGCATGAAAAACTCTAAAAATTAAGAAAAACAAACCTCTTCGATTCTTTTTTCTACTATCTTCTCGGACATTGATAACGCGAAACGGACGTGTCGGGGCATTCCTAGTGACCACTTTAGTAACCTCAGCATTCTTAAGTGTCCTTCATAGCTCATAAACGTCCGGAGCACGTCCGTTTGGCGTTACCGATGTACGAGAAGATGAAAGAAAGAAAAAAAATGAATCAAAAGGGGTAAAAAAGCGCGCCCCAATGATGTCTCTTGTGTATTCACGTGAGGCAAGTTTTCCAATACCGGAGGCTGTATAAGCCAGCTTGATCTCAATGAACACTGAAGTTTTAAACTTATTAAAATTAAATGGAAAAAAAAGCGAAAAACCGCAGTGCGCGTGAAATAAAATACATTCGCCGTTATAGCTGCGTGGTTGCGGCGGTTATCGGTACAGTAATCAAAATACATTAATTTTTCTCGTATTTTAACCTTTCTTCTCCCATTTTCCTTGAAAATGTACAATGGTTATATAACCACGAGCACAAAAAAATTTCGATGCGATGAAATATTAACAAAAAAATTTTTTTTTGCATTATTATCCTCATAGATATCACAAAGCAACTTACAAAACCCATTGGACATGAAAAATTCACAAGTAATTCATGACGTGTGTAAAGGGGGAGAAAAATGTACAAAAAAACTGAGGGTAAAGTGCTCACTAAATAGGGAAATTTGAGTGGCCACTTCGGGGATCTCGGGAGAGAATTACTTGGAGGATTCAATTTGGTTTTTTTGATTGATTTAAATATGAAAAATTTGGGCATTTAAAAAAAAACCCTGAAGTGACCACTTCAGCTTCTAGTGTTGATAAAAGGTGATACCTGAGCATACTTTTAGGGGTATATAAAGCAGGAAAATGCGCAAAAAAGAAAAAAAAAACAACTCGGACATGGTGATAAGGCAGAAAGTTCGATAAGGCGCTAATTATGCTTTCTAAGAAGGTTAGTGATAGTTAACGAGCTAATTAGGGTGATTTATAATCGTTTGGTTAGGCCCAGGACGGCGTCAAGTCGTTCGATTTCCTCGCCGTTCATCTGCCGATAGTACCAATCCCTTTTCGTGCATAATTCGCGAAGCTCCTGGAAGAAAAATAAATTAAATCCCGAGCCAATTTCACAAAATTAAAATATCTCCGCATCGGGTTATCACGAATCATTCCCTAGAATCCTTCCAAGAAGCTTCCTTTCAATGCGCGTGGCCTGCCTGACTGTCTGCGCCTTTAATAAAAGAGCATTTTCAGGGCGAATTAAAGGCGCATGGGAAGAAAAATCCCGCGGCCATTGAAAGGAAGCTTCCCGGAAGGGTTCTGTAGCACGGAGGAAAACGAAAATAATGACATGCTGGGCTACATGAAATTTTTCAGCTCAAAAAACAATCTGAGACGTGAAAAAACTATTCATTCTCCCTGAAGTGTCCACTTGACATTATCACCTTAAGAAGTCCCTTAATTCATCCCTTATCACTAACGTTTCACCTTCAAAATATAAAATTGCGAAAAAAAGTAGCCGCATTTTAAAAAAGCCGTCCTATTAAACCCAAATGGCTCTTGAAATTAAAAAAAAAAACCAGAACTCTGAAGGGACCACTTCAGCTTCTATGTGGACCTTCTAGACGGTTTCTACCAGTTCATATCCCATATTTTCATAGTTATATATCGGGAAAACTTTTAGTGGACACTGTAGAGGTTGGCCAAGGACTACTTGGAGAGGACACTAAAGTGGCCACTAAACCCACCTCGATAGTGGCAAATATTTTCCGTTTTAGTGGCCACTGTAGAGGTTCTCTATTTAGTGGCTACTTCAGTAGTTTTTCATCCAGTATTCCTTCCAGAAACTCTGATAATTTAGATTGGACCAGTTAGTTTGATCCATTGACCCCTAAAGCGGCCAGTAAGATTTTTAGTGGTCTATTAGTAGCACTTAGACCTCTACAGTGGCCACTAATTTTTAACCTCTTAAATGGCCACTAATTTGACTACTATAATGGCCACTAAAACCTCAAAACCCTATAGCGGCCATTAAAATTTTTGCCAGTATTACCTCAATACAGAACAAGGCCTTCTCGGCGCGTTCCTCGGCCGCGACATCGACACCGATTCGCGACGACGCGGCAGCGTTCGCGAACTTCTGAAGTTTATCAGTCGCGCCTAGGGCGATCTGCTGGAGAGCTTCCAAGGCGTCGTTTCGCAGTTGTTCTTCGTCGCAGAGCAGGTTTTCTGGAGAAATTTGTAGCTAACTTTGAAAAGGAAAAAAAAACCTTTGACGATGGGAAGGAAGGCGCGGCAGGCATTGAGGCTCCATTCGCGGTCCTCGTTGAAGTGGCGAATCGCGGCTCGCGACAGCGACTCCGAGTCGCTCACCTCGTGCGAGTACAGCGACTGAGCGCCACGCATTCGCACGTAGTTTCGCAGTTCTCGAGATTCTGAACAATTCAGGGTTTTTGATGAGCCTCAAAGTTTTGTCTTTTGTTTTTGTTCTAACAAAAACTTGGTCTCCAGTCTGAGACCAAGTTTTCTAGATGTAGTTTTTCATGCTGATTTCAAATCTGGTCTCAAAAACCGCCAAGGATATCTGTGAAAAAAGTTGGGGGCTCTCAAAGTTCGGAAATATAAATTTCTCCAATTGAGCTCATTTTGGTAAGCTCTGGATAAGCTTTATAAAAACAAGATTTGACGTTTACTAAAGCTTTTTATTAATAATAATAATAATTTATTCACAGATCAGTGTAAACCCCAACGAGTTCACTTCGATCTACAATTTGAATAAATAAAAAAGTTCGAGTAAAAAAATTGAGATATTACTTCCTTACTTTTGAACTTCAAAGCTTCTTATCAAGATTTGAAGCTTATTTGAGCTCAAAAAGCTCTACCTAAGCCTAGAAGCTTCTTTTCGCGCTTTGGAAAGTTTTCTAGAGCCTCGAAGATTTTTTCTCAATCCTACTGGCTCTTTTTCAAAATTTACTTACAACGAAAAATCTCATATTTAGAACCTAAGAACTTCTCCTAACGCCTAAAAACTAGGAACGATCCATTTTTAGTACCACATGTCCCAAGATCTCGGGTAGAGTAGAGAAATTCGAATTCCTTAATATTTTCCTAAACTTTCAGCTTAAAAAAGTTCAAAAATGAAAAATTTCATACCTGCAAGTCGCTGCTGACTGGCCGCCATGATCTGCTCGTGTCCCTTGCTCATCATGACGTACAGATCGTCCCAGGAGTTCAACGAGTACTCACTATCGTCTGTCGATTTGTTCGACTGCAAAGTACTTTTTGATTTCCTCCTATTTATATAATAATTTATTGACAGATCAGCGTGAACCCTAACGAGTTCACTCGGATCTAGAATTTGAGAAAAATACATTATACAGTTATACATCATTTGAGTCGTGGAGGAATAGACAAGAAGATCTCGTGCAATGGTAGATTGACCAGTAAATTTTTTAAAGACTTGGAGTGGTGGCTGAATTGAAATTTGGAAATGAGTTTGTTCCAAGTAGGAATTGTTTTAAAGAAAAAATCATTAGAAAACTGACCTTGAGAACGCAGTCGAAGTGGATTTCGCCTTAAATTGGACCTGAGGGCAAAAAGTTCGAACTGGGGAAAATGATCGATACCGAAGACAATTTTATGAAGGGTCAGAATGTCAGATATAGCTCGTCTGAGGTAAAGTGGAGAGATATCAAATTGTTCAAGGCGATCAGAGTAAGATTCAAAGGATAAGTTGGACCTAATAAAAATTTTACGAGAAAAAATTCTGAGAGGAGATTCCAGTTTGTAGCAGAGATCAGAATTAAGGGGAGGGTTAAAAACTTCGGAGCAGTATTCTAGAATAGGCCTTACATAGGTGTTAAAAATTTTGAAAATTAGATCAGATTATTTGTGTTCTTCATTGCATTTATGTTCGATAAGTGTATAGTTTGCTCAAATTTTTGAAAATCAAGCGACTGACTCCGCCCTCGCGGGTACAGTACCTTTTCGCGACGATCTTCCTTCAATAAAACTACATTTTTTGACTTCATTTTATTTCAGAGATCATGATGATCTTTCAGTAGCGCTGAGTTTCAAAATCTTCTTTGATTCAAGAGAAAAAAAAAATCAAAAAATGCAGCACTATTAAAGAATCATCGTCACGCCCGAGTTAGATCTTGACACGAAAGGTAATGTAGTTTTGATTATTCACTTCGAATTGATTTTTTTGTTTGACCCAACAGCTGCGATACACGTTTTTACGTTTCAAAAATCGAAGAAATTTTATTTATCCCATATTAGGAGAATTTTTAGTGACCACTATAGGGTTTTGGCGTTGTAGTGGCCACTATAGTAGTAAAATTAGTGGCCACCTGAAGGGTTGAAAATTAGTGGCCAGTATAGAGGTCTAAGTGCTACTACTAGACCACTGAAAATTTTAGTGGCACTTTAGGGGTCAACGGATCAACATAACTGGTCCAATCTGCTTTAAAATTATCAAAGTTACTGGAAGGAATTCTGGATGAAAAACTACTGAAGTGGCCACTAAACAGAGAACCTCTATAGTGGCCACTAAAACGCAAAAGAGTGGCCACTATAGAGGTGGGTTTAGTGGCCACTTTAGTGTCCTCTCCAAGTAGTCCTTAAGGAACCTCTTAAGTGACCACTAAAACTTTCCCAGTACGTGGGCTGCCTCCCAAGTTTCCTTAAATTAATCCCGGTGGCTAAAAACTGCATTACTGTAGCCGAAACTACCTCCATGAGGTTAAAACTTGATTTTTCTTCCTAATTTTCCAAAAAGTGAGCCATCCCTGGCTGACTGAGCTCTGCACTTGCCCAACTATGATTTATCCTTCTTCAAAACCAACCCTAACAGGTTTGCTTCTAACCGGCTTTTTAGCCGGGGAAGTCGGCGTGACATAGGGCGTCGAACCGATTTTCGTCGGTCTGTGGCTGTTTCCAACGGGCGACGAGGTCCGCTGCACCAACTGAACGGCCAATTTTTGCACTTTTTCCCAGGGGGTAAAAAACCTTTTTCTTCTCGTTTCCGGTCAACGTTTCCGGTGCATTTCTCGACGTCGTTCTGAAGCATTTCGGTCATTTTTTTCATATGTAATACGAAAAAACCGAGTTCCCAAATTTCGATTCGTCCGTCGATCCTCGCTCAGATCGCTCTCGCTGGGCGTTCTGGGTCTTCCCATGTAGGTTATGGAGATTTCCGATCGTCTGAAATTAACTCAATGAGCAGGAGAAATTCTCAAACTATCAACCCCCAAAGTTATTTTTTTCAATCATTCATGAAAAAGTTCAACACATTCCCTTCAAAAATGCTGCTTAAAGGAGATGAAGCCCTGCAGAACCAAAAATAAGCCTAAAAAGCCTCGAGACCATTTTCTTAATGAGACCTTTAAACCACCCAGCACAGATTTTTCTTTTAATACGCCTATAGTTTTGACGAAAATTAACACGCCATCCCTGTAATTTTCAAAAGACCAAAAAACCAACTTCGCAAACACCAAAAGCCCCGTATCTCAATAATTTCTACAGTACACCTTATATGGTATGTACTGAAAACAATTCTAAAATTGCATTACCTATCGATTGATATACAACTTGCCCATTAGAAACTTTTCGATGCTAAGATACGCAGGTGACCTACTGTAACCCGGCTACAGTAAGAGGGAATGGATGAAGTTTCATTTTAGAGATCTAGGCTTGTCCGTCATACAGAAAACTTTAAAAAATTTTCTGAAAATGCACGAGTTTTAAAATTTAGCCTTCTGATATGGTGAAGGAAGCATTGTCAAAAAATTCCAGCCTTTAAATTTAATATTTTTTTGAAAAAAAGGCGATTTTTGTGAGGTATTCAATGTCTTGAGTCGCCTCAAAAGTGATCCAGAATTATCTCTGACTCTCCAAAATTCAGTTATCTTTTCTCTCTGACAGTTATTTTGAACATGGTATGAGAATTTTAACACGCATTCTCCCAGAAAATCGAGAAAATGCCAAACATTTTGAAATAAAAATTTCATCTTTGTTCCTGAGAGCTCTCCTTGCTATCATAGATAGTGAACAACCTCTTGAACATTTAGAACCAGGTTTTATGAGGCTCCGCCCACTTTCAGGCTTACTGTAGAAAAAACACCGTAACTTTTTTCCTAGTGGAGCAAATTGGTCCAAACCAATTTTAAAACAAAATATGCTCTCCTTTGACCATTTATAGTTATAGAAGTGACCCGGAAAAAATTTTCTTTCAGAAGAAAAAAATTAAAGTTTTTTGAAAAATGACGATTTTCGCAGTCTTTGAGCCATAACTAGTACTAGAACCCCCGAATGCCTGGATTTTTATTTTTTCAATCGACGCATTAGGGTCTTGTGAGTAGAGGAGAAATGTCTAGAAACTCTGCATCCGGATGATCCAGTTGACCTCCATCTCGGAGAACGCGGCCAGCTTGACAATCGCAGAACCTTTGAAAATTTCTATTTTTCATGAAAGCCCGAATCCGTTTTGTTTCTTTTTTTCGTTCAACATAACACAGCTTGCTGCAAAATTGAAAGCTTGAAGACTCAATTTATCCTTTAAAACGCTTCTCTTTCAAAAGTCCGGACCTTTTCTGACTGCCAGTGGAAACATGACGAGGCCGGTAGGACTTTGTCGAGTTTCTCCTCAGGGGAAAAGGTTCCCGGAAGCGGATCGCTTGCATTTAGTGTCCCGAAAACCACTAGAATATGTAGGGAATCGCGAAGAACAATGAGGGATAGAGTTCGGCAAAGGACAGCTCAAATAAATAAACTTGGAGGCCCGAGGAGCAGAGAGTTTCACTCGGCGGTGGGACGGGCCGGCACGTCTTCGCGCTCTCAGGTGAATTAGGGCCGGGACGAAAAAGGGCAAAGAAACAAGAGGGCAGTGTCGGTGTTTTCCTAACTTCTTTTAAATTTATGAGCGAGTCGTTGGATTTTATACCCAACAAGGGGAGGTCATTTTACTCGGAAATTTTCTGAAAATTTGCTAGAAAACTTCTTGATGACCCATAAGAAGATTCTGAAAGGCTCAACCTGCAAAATTTCCCAGTTTTTGAGAAATAAGGGTCTAAAGCCCCAAAATAGTCTATTTTAATCGACTTTGAGACCTCTTTTTTCGAAACTAGTAAGATGTGCAGGTTGAGACTTCACAGGCAAAGTCCAAAGGACCTCAAAAAGGTTTTAAAAGAAGAGCCTGAAGCTTCTTTTTGATTCCTAGGTTTCTAAAAAGATGTCAAAAGTTTCTCGGAACGTCATTTTTTCTCCTTAAAAGGTAATTTTCAGCAAAAGGTCAAGAAAAGAAGGTGCCTTTTAGAGGTCTTTTTCTCAAAAAGGACTTTTGGACTTTGCCCGTGGAACCTTCGAAACCAGCAAAATCTCTTGAAAACCAAGAAAAAATTGAGAAAAATCAACGCGAAAACGTCCTCTGCTAATTTCGGAAATTTTGAGGCCATTTTCGAACTTTCTAGGATATTTTTCAACATTCTAGGTTATAGACGATTTACGGCTAGCTAAAAGGCGTGACCTGTCTGAACTCTCCACCAACCAGGGCACTGTCTCATCTCTTTTCGTGGCAGGACCCTTTTCTCGACGGCCGTGAATCAGCTATATTTTTCAAGATTCCAGGTGAAAATCCTAGAAAAACTCAAAAAAGTGGCTTCCTTCCTACACATACTTTGAAAGAGGAAGAAAAAATAGAACCAAAATCGAAATTCCGAGAAGAATCCCGTCAGAGTTGATGATGAAACGGAGCAAAAGATAGGCGATTCGGGAAGGGATTCGGACCCAAGGCGGCGCCAAATTGCACCACCGATTAGGGCCAAGAACTCCTCGTAGGCCCCATGGCAACGGAACGCGCCGAATCACACGGACAACTTTTTTTGCTTCTTCTCAATTGGAAGCCATACTTGTGTACAAAGTTACGAGGTTTTTGCAACCGACCTTAAAACAGCTTTCACTCAAGTATATCTTAACTCATTTGAGAGAAGCGTTTAGTTGTCCTGAGTCCTTTTTTGGCTCTTTTTTTTCTTTCTTAAGTAAATAGATTCAAATATATCTTAAATTTCTCGATTGGAAGCCGTACTTGTTTACAATGTTACGAGACCTTTTGCACCCGACCTTAAAACTACTTACGCTCAAAGGCAACTTGAAGGTTTCTAGCCTTTTTGAATAATTTTTTTGGTCTTTTTTCAATGTCTATAGATTCAAATATGTCTTATATTAGAAAAATTTATCAAAAAAAAAAACTTTTTTTTCTCAATTGGAAGCCGTACTTGTGTACAAAGTTACGAGACTTTTTGCACCCGACCTTAAAACTACTTATGCCCAAATGTATCTTAAGTCGTTGAGAGAGGCGTCGAGCCGTTCTGAATAATTTTTTAGGCCCTTTTTAGTGTCTATACATTCAAATATGCCTCATAATAGAAAAGTTCAATAAAAAAATTTTTTTCTTCTCAATTTGAAGCCGTACTTGTGTACAATGCTACGAGGTTTTTTGCACCCGACCTTAAACGACTTTCACTCAAAGGCATCCTGAAAGTGTCCAGCCGTTCTAAATACTTTTACAAGCTCCTTTTTCTCTAGCGCCTATTAATTCAACTATATCTTATGTATATGTTAATAAAATCACACGGAGGACCTTTTTTTCTGCTCCATTGGAAGCCATACTTACATAGCAAGGTATCGAGTCCAGCCGTTCTAAATACTTTTACAAGCTCCTTTTTCTCCAGTTTCCATCGGTTGAACTCAAACCTAAGTATAAATTTTAGAATAAAAATATGAAAAAGCTTTTTCTTTTTCATCTGGAAGCCATATTTCGAGATGAAGCATAACATATCTCCATAACTCGATCCAAAAAAAGAAATCTTATCAAAAAAAAAAAGTTTAAGTCACAAAATCCTTTCAAAGGTTCCAATGTTAGTTCGGAAACTTTTTCTGAAGTTTTTCGAAGGTTCAAAAGTAAAAAAAAGTACAGAAAACACCAATTCGTCTCGAGACCTTGTTGAGCTCAATCCATGCTCCTTCAAATGTTCTAGGAAAAATTTTCAGAAGGACATTGAAGCAGTCAATAAATATTGATTGATGATGATGATGAAGGCTTTTTCGAAACAAAATAGCACCGAAAACAGCGTTTCGTCTCGAGACCTCTTCGAGCTTAAGCCATGCTCCTTTAAATGTCCAAAAAATCTTTGAGGAGGATACCTACATACTTTCTGATGCATCTTCGAAATTCTATTAATTTTTTTCCAAGATATCTATGAGGGGTGAAGGCTTTTTCAAAACAAAAATAGCACCGAAAAACAGCGTTTCGTCTCGAGACCTCTTCGAGCTTAAGCCATGCTCCTTTAAATGTCCAAAAAATCTTTGAGGAGGATACCTACATACTTTCTGATGCATCTTCGAAATTCTATTAATTTTTCCAAGATATCTATGAAGGGTGGAGACTTTTTAAATATAAAACAACACAGAAAACAGCGTTTCGTCTCGAGACCTCTTCGAGCTTAAGCCATGCTCCTTTAAATGTCCAAAAAAATCTTTTGAGGAGGATACCTACATACTTTCTGATGCATCTTCGAAATTCTATTAATTTTTTTCCAAGATATCTATGAAGGGTGGAGACTTTTTTTAAATATAAAACAACACAGAAAAACAGCGTTTCGTCTCGAGACCTCTTCGAGCTTAAGCCATGCTCCTTTAAATGTCCAAAAAAATCTTTGAGGAGGATACCTACATACTTTCTGATGCATCTTCGAAATTCTATTAATTTTTTTCCAAGATATCTATGAGGGGTGAAGGCTTTTTCAAAAACAAAAATAGCACCGAAAAACAGCGTTTCGTCTCGAGACCTCTTCGAGCTTAAGCCATGCTCCTTTAAATGTCCAAAAAAATCTTTGAGGAGGATACCTACATACTTTCTGATGCATCTTCGAAATTCTATTAATTTTTTTCCAAGATATCTATGAGGGGTGAAGGCTTTTTCGAAAACAAAAATAGCACCGAAAAACAGCGTTTCGTCTCGAGACCTCTTCGAGCTTAAGCCATGCTCCTTTAAATGTCCAAAAAAATCTTTGAGGAGGATACCTACATACTTTCTGATGCATCTTCGAAATTCTATTAATTTTTCCAAGATATCTATGAGGGGTGAAGGCTTTTTCAAAACAAAATAGCACCGAAAACAGCGTTTCGTCTCGAGACCTCTTCGAGCTTAAGCCATGCTCCTTTAAATGTCCAAAAAATCTTTGAGGAGGATACCTACATACTTTCTGATGCATCTTCGAAATTCTATTAATTTTTCCAAGATATCTATGAAGGGTGGAGACTTTTTAAATATAAAACAACACAGAAAACAGCGTTTCGTCTCGAGACCTCTTCGAGCTTAAGCCATGCTCCTTTAAATGTCCAAAAAATCTTTGAGGAGGATACCTACATACTTTCTGATGCATCTTCGAAATTCTATTAATTTTTCCAAGATATCTATGAAGGGTGGAGACTTTTTTTAAATATAAAACAACACAGAAAAACAGCGTTTCGTCTCGAGACCTCTTCGAGCTTAAGCCATGCTCCTTTAAATGTCCAAAAAAATCTTTGAGGAGGATACCTACATACTTTCTGATGCATCTTCGAAATTCTATTAATTTTTCCAAGATATCTATGAAGGGTGGAGACTTTTTAAATATAAAACAACACAGAAAACAGCGTTTCGTCTCGAGACCTCTTCGAGCTTAAGCCATGCTCCTTTAAATGTCCAAAAAATCTTTGAGGAGGATACCTACATACTTTCTGATGCATCTTCGAAATTCTATTAATTTTTCCAAGATATCTATGAGGGGTGAAGGCTTTTTCAAAACAAAATAGCACCGAAAACAGCGTTTCGTCTCGAGACCTCTTCGAGCTTAAGCCATGCTCCTTTAAATGTCCAAAAAATCTTTGAGGAGGATACCTACATACTTTCTGATGCATCTTCGAAATTCTATTAATTTTTCCAAGATATCTATGAGGGGTGAAGGCTTTTTTTCGAAAACAAAATAGCACCGAAAACAGCGTTTCGTCTCGAGACCTCTTCGAGCTTAAGCCATGCTCCTTTAAATGTCCAAAAAAATCTTTGAGGAGGATACCTACATACTTTCTGATGCATCTTCGAAATTCTATTAATTTTTTTCCAAGATATCTATGAGGGGTGAAGGCTTTTTTTCAAAACAAAATAGCACCGAAAAACAGCGTTTCGTCTCGAGACCTCTTCGAGCTTAAGCCATGCTCCTTTAAATGTCCAAAAAAATCTTTGAGGAGGATACCTACATACTTTCTGATGCATCTTCGAAATTCTATTAATTTTTCCAAGATATCTATGAGGGGTGAAGGCTTTTTCAAAACAAAATAGCACCGAAAACAGCGTTTCGTCTCGAGACCTCTTCGAGCTTAAGCCATGCTCCTTTAAATGTCCAAAAATTTTTTGAGAAGGATACCTACATACTTTCTGATGCATATTCAAAAATTATATCAGTTTTTTAAGATATCTATGAGGAGTGGAGGCTCGTTAAGAATAAAAAAACACAGAAAACAGCGTTTCGTCTCAAGACCTATTTGAGATCAATCCATGCTCCTTTAAATGTTCTAGGAAATACTTTTGGAGAGCTCATATTGATGAATAGTAAGGAAAACTGTTCGGAACTTCGTTCCTAGCTTATGTCTTGGAAAATTCTGCCAATTTTGCCGATTTTCAATTTTCCTCTCAGCTTATAACTAGTGACATTCCTTCCACTTTTGAAAATCAAATAATACTTGAGAGAAGCCGATCGTTTCTTCGCCTCCCGATCGGCTGCGGCCAGAGACTGAGTCGATCCAAGATTTGAGACCGAATCGTGCTCTGAAAAAATTCAATAGCTCCTTTTTCAGTTTTTAAATTCTATCTAGTTACTTGCAAACAAAGTCGACGTCGATTTCCTTTCCTTGTTGAGGTCAGAAAGTGACGGGGAAGGTCTAGGCCTTACGGATCGTACTGAAAATCATTTTCTGATGTTTCTTGGAACTAAAAATGTCATTTTTCTTCTTCAAATATCTTTTTTCAGTGTTCATCATTTCATTACACAAACTCTTCACCCCAAAAATCACTAATTTTCAGATAGTTTCCCTTTTTTTTTAAATCGATACTTAAACTTCTATGGGCTGTAGATGACTGATTAGGTATCAAATCAAAGATCTTGAGGTTCCTAATTATTAGAGATGGTTTTGCCAGTTTGAGTGGAAAGACTCCCCCACCTCCTCTGCCTTCCTAAAAAAAATCCCCCCCACTAATCGAAGAAAAAAAGATATTTTTCAGTTAACTCATTGAATTACAGGTGAAGGATGTGAAGGTTCTTATTTTCCGATCACTTTTAACTAGGAAAAAAAAAATCGCTTGTGCCAATCAATTGAATTTCAAAAAATGAATGTTTGATTTTTCATGACATCGGGCTAGCGCCGTCCAGCGCGCACCCTGAAAAAAATTTTTCACGGTTTTAGCAAGTCCCCACCCCCCCATTTCCTAGCTTTTTTTTGCCAAGTCCCCCATGTTTCCTAGCTTTTTTTCGCCAAGTGCCCCCCCCCTCCTCCACTTCTTAGTTTTTTTGAAAAACGCTCGCCCCCCCATTCTCCTAATAATTTTTTTGCCAAGTTCCCCACCCCCCTTTCCTAGTTTTTTTTGCCAAGTTCCCCCTTATTTCCTAGTTTTTTTGAAAACACCCCCCTTTCCTAGTCTTTTTGCCAAGTCCCCCCCACCCCCTTTCCTTGTTTTTGCCAACCCCTCCCCCATTTTCTAGTTTTTTTGAAAACGCCCCCCCATTTCCTAATTTTTTCCAAGCTCCCCCTGCCTTTTTTTCAAGTCCCACCGAGACTATCCCATGTATTGGGCCAGCGCCGTCCAGTGCGCAACCTGAAAATTTTTTTACGGTTCTCCCATTTTATCGTTTTTTTGCCAAGTTCCCTCCCCCTCCAATTCCTATTTTTTTGAATACGCCCCCCTTTTCCTTACATGACCAGACAAAAAAACTATGGGAATACAAAAAAATCCAAAAAACCCTCCAAAACTGACCAGCCGAGCTCTTGGCGGCAGCCGACGACGGCGCCCTCGGCGGCACTTTCGACGCCGTCGTCGTCGAACTCGTCGCGGCCCTCGTTCGGCTTGGCTTCTGCGACGAGGCTCGGTTTTTCGACACGGGTATCTTAAACGACAAGTTTCTGAGGTATGTTTCTGTTGAAGCTTTTTATAGTTTCTAGAAGCCCCATCCTCCAACTTTCTTCTATTTCTGTGCAATATTATGTATTTTGATGATTTCCTACACTATCGAAGCATTCAGCAGCGTTTATTACTACGTTTAAGACATAGCTGATTCACGACTGGCTTGAGCCATCGAAAAAAGGGTCCTGACACGATAATGCGTGAGATAGCGCCTGGCTCGTGGAGAGCGCAGACAGGCCACGCCCCCTTACTGTTCCAAGCTAGCTGTGAATCAGCTATATAAGAGTCAGACTTTTTTCGGATTTTTCTGTGAATTTGAAGGAATTTCAGGTTTATGCAACGATAGAAGTGTCATGTCACTCCAAAGAAATCTTATGACACAAAAAATATCAGAAATAAAATTTTCTGATTATACTTTTCCATTCAGGGTTGTTTGTGATGCAGATTTCGTCTCAAGGCAAAATTTTTAAGTTCCAGAATTTTCCGATCTCTTAAGACCCCATTTTTCTTCTGGAGACTAAAATCTCAACCTTTCGATTGGGAAAATTCCACAAGTTTGGCCGAAAAATTTTTTTGATCTATTTAAAGTGAACTTGTCAGGAGTCCAAAAAAGGCGAAAGTCGCTCAAGGTCGGGCGCAGCTCATAACGTGCTTACTAGCTCAGAAAATAACGGTTCGAAGCCCCAAAATAGCCCATTTTAACGGATTTTGAAGCCTTTCTTTGACTTCTAGGTATTCTTTCTCAAAAACTAGAAGATTTCACAGGTTGAGACTTCCAGGACCTTCATCTGGCACATCAAGGATTGTTCTAGCCAATTTTCAGGAAAATCCCAACGAAACAGTAAAATGACCTCCTAGAGAACTCTTCCACAAAGTACGTTTCAAAGAAACCAGAAATAGCCACAGTTTCGAGTTTAGTATTCTTTGCCGATCTTTACATGTATATCAAAATTAATACGGGATGAAACTTGAAAACAAAGTCGGAAGGGTTGAAAAAGGCTCCAAAAAGGTTCATTTTAGGGTGACAAGGGCTCCTTTGTTGCTTCCTTTTTGGGCCATTTCCTCGGCTATTATGCACCATTTTTGCTGCCTCTCCCTTTTTTCGCCTTTTCTTGAACCTTTGAAACACTAGAAAAAGGGAAGGCTCGGTAAAGGAACTCTTTTTGCTACCTCTTTGCTACCTCTTTGCTACCTTTTGGCTGCCTTTTTGGTGCCTTTCTGCTGCCTTTTTGCTACCTTTTTGCAACCTTTCTGCGGCCTTTCTGCAGCCCTTTTTGCAGCCTTTTTGCTACCTTTTTGCTACCTTTTCGCTGTCTTTTTGGGGCCATTTTGCGCCAATTTATGAGCCTCTCCCTTTCAACGGCCATCTGTCTGCAGCCGCAAAAAAATCTTACTTGTAAAAACAACAAAAAAATAAAAATAGACAGATTGAAGACTCGGAGGAGGTGCACAAAAATCAGGACAAGGGGGGGACTAACCCGAGCCGGACTGGCGGGACTCGATTGGCTGCTCTCCGCCGCTGAGCCGCTATCCACGCTTCCGCTCACTTCTTCCCGTTCGTGAGAGCCGTTGGACCTCTGCATATATATCTCTTTTTTTTCAGGTTTCTTCTGAATCTCTGATCAATTTTTGGACCTCGATGAAAATGAAGAATTTTTTGTAACTTCATTATAAATGAGAAAATCTCGGACTTCCTAGCCGACGTTTCTGAGCCCTTCTAGTGATCCCTTTAGCGACGTTTGCCCTCTTAAGTGATCACTTGGAATGCAGAGAAACATCCAGAGCGCAAATGGAATTTAGGATTCTTTGCAACTTCATGATAAATGAGAAAATCTCGGACTTCCTAGCCGACGTTTCTGAGCCCGTCTAGTGATCCCTTAGGCGGCGTTTGCCCCCTTAAGTGATCACTTGGAATGCAGTAGAAACGTCCGGAGCGCAAATGGAATTTAGGATTCTTTGCAACTTCATGATAAATGAGAAAATCTCGGACTTCCTAGCCGACGTTTCTGAGCCCTTCAAGTGATCCCTTAGGCGGCGTTTGCCCCCTTAAGTGATCACTGGGAATGCAGAGAAACGTCCGGAGTTTGCGTCTAGGAGATCCGAGACTTTCTAGTGTTCATTGACGGGAAAATGATAGAATTCTAAGATTTTGAACTTGAAAAACTAAGCTTTAAACTCAAAATATCCAAAAATCCGATAAAAAAATTTTTTTTTCCAATAATGTCTCTTCATGTGATCAAGTAAATCCGATAAAAAATTTAAACTATCTTTCTTGTTACTATATCCTTCTAATTGAATAATTCAATCATTGGTTCAATTTTCCTCTTTGAATGTTCGCACTGCATCAGTTTGGCTCTTCAAAAATTGACTTATGAAAATCGAAAGAAACAGAAAAATAATTTTTTTCAACGAAAAAAAAATCGCAAAATAGCTTTTCTTATGAAGACCTTAGGAACTCCAGAGTGGTCCCTATAGGGCAACCTTAGGGACTCTTGGAAGCTCCCCTCTAGGGACCATCCTAGCAATACCTTGAGGGACCCCTGAAGCTTGCAAAAGTGGTCCCTATAGGGGTCATGCTACTCGATAATCTTTATGTATTCTATGTGAAGAAGCATTTCTATGAGAAAAACTGAATGAATAAGAGCTTTTGAATGAAATTGAGAGGCCCCTATAGGGTCCACTTGAGCTTTAGGGGAAAAGGGGTCAGACCTTAAATTCCTATGGGTACTACCTTGGTTCTACCCCTATAGGGACCACTTTTTCGGCCCCTAACCCCCATAGAGACCACCCAAGAACTTTAAGACCCCTATAGGGACCACTTGAGCTTTGGGACCTCAGAGTCAGACCCTCAGCCCCTACAGGGATAACTTAAATTTAACTAATATAGATGGACCTTTTGTCCCCTATAGAGGCTGTTTTCCACCCTTACCCCTATAGGGACCACTCTGGCGTTCTTAAGAAAGCCTAAATTTCCGAAAATTCTCAACCAAAACGGTCTTTTTTTTTATCTCGGTCCAAAAATTCACTGAAAAATCCAAAAACCTACCAATTCCGCCGATGAGCAGTCACGAGACGACGTCGTGTGCGACAGCTCAATCTCATCGCTCAGATTTTTCTCCTCAAAATTATGGGGTACCGAAGAAAAATTGAGAATATTTAAAACCTCATCCAAAGGCGAAAAATCTTCAACAACCCGTTCTCCAAAGTCTGCACGAGGTGAGCAGGAAAGAACTTCCTGAAAAAAGGATTTTTAGCAAGTTTGATTGCAAAACATTCTTAAAAATTGTGTATAAAGTCAAAAAAAAAAAGACCTTACCCATAAAAAAGTACTTCAAATAATGGATTTTCTCATTTTTTCAGTAAAAAAAATCGGAGAAAATGAGCTTTGCACTCAAAAAAAAGTCAAGTTTAATGTAATTTTTTTCAAGGTTCGATAAAAAAATATTCAAAATGTGGTCCTGAAAGTTGAAAAAAAATGCCGTTGGCCATGTAAAAATTCACATAAATCTAGAAATTTTCAAGATTTTAATGCGAAATTTCAAAAATCTGTCGAAACATGAAAAAAATCATCCTGGCCATGAAAAAAAGTCCAATTAAAAAAATCAGAAACTTTGGAAATTTTCGCGGCGAAAAAAATTGGAAATATTGATAAAAAAACAGTGAAAAAAACGACCTTGGCCATGAAATAACTCCACTAAAACGGCTAATTTTTTTCAAGTTCTTGATAAAAAAATTCCTAAAAATATCGGTATTCGCATTAAAAAGTATGATACAAATTCCAATCAGAAATTTAAAATTTTTCAATATTTTTTTATGAAAAAAATTTCTAAAAATAGCGAAAAAAAGAGTGAGAAAATGGTCTTGGCCATGAAAAAAATCCAATTAAAAAAATAAGAATTTTTTTCATGATTTTCGGTGAAAAAAATTTTTGAAATATCTATAAAAAAACTGTGGAAGAATGACCTTGGTCATGAAATAATTCGCATAAATTTAGAAAAATTTTTCAATTTTTTTTGATGCAAGTTTCAAAAATGATTTTTTTATCATGGAAAAAAATTTAATTAAAATGGAGAATTCTCTATAATTTCAGCATTTTTCCCTATGAAAACGCGACCTCAATGGAATAAGTCCTCATTTCGAGCCGTTCCGTCGTTTCTCCAATACACAGCAGATCCATTTCATCGCCGTTCATACTCACACTGACGACCTGAAAATGAAATTGATCATTATTTTCATGGAATTATCAAAAACCCTATCGATTCCTCGAAGCGGCATCGATGCCAAAATGTCACATGGTTCCCAGGTTAACAGTTGTAGTGAATTACTCGTTGTCGCCACCATAACATGGGCTGAAAATATCACAATTAATCATGCAAAACATTGAAAAAACTATTTGAAAAGTGAAAATTATCCTTCTTAAAAATAAAAGGTTAAAAAAACGTATCTCTTCTTTGAAAAATATGTCTCTGAAATTTAAAATGAAACTTGAAGCTGTGAAACTCCAAAAAAATATAAACGTTATGAAAGCTGCAAGAGAAATGCCGAAAAATTGGCGATTTTTTTCCAAAAAAATTCGTTAAAATAAAATAAAAATATGTTATAAAGCACAGTTGACATTGATAATAAATAATATATGCCCGGGAATTATTTAAAAACTTCAGCAAATCACGGGAAAAAAGTAAAAATTAAATAGCGCAATTTTTCAAAAAGATGAAAAACGCGCTCCACTGCAAATGGGTCTCGTGGCGATGAGACGGCTGAGTGGAAATAAATTTTTTTGTCATCAAGTTTTTTTAGTTTTGGTTTCAACGACTTTTTTTCCGTTTTTTTCTGAACTTATTTTGAAAAATATTTGTAGGAAAAAAATAATCAGAAACCAACTCAAATTTTTTTTGGATAGAAAAATGTGAATTAAGAATGAGAATTTTGCAAATTATAACAGAAAAATTTTCACAAAAAAAGACAGTTTGAATTATTTTTTTCGTTAATTACGAAATTTTTTTATTTTTTTAGACAATCAATTTTTTTGAATAAAAAAACAACATATCCGCCTAATAAAGGTTTTTTTCGAATATTTTCTTCTTCTTCAACCAGTTTTATCAATATAAATGCATGATACAATTATTTTTTTTGACGCATGTTTCTAGTTATTTTTTTCAATTTTTCTCTTAAATTCAATACGAAGCTCAGAAAGAACGTGTCAAACTTGATAATTTTGCTCATTTCGAGAGTAAAAATTTTATTAAAAACAAATATTTTGGACTCCTCAAACTCACAATCGAAAAACCGAAGCTTGGACATCGTCCACGAAAGCGTCAGACTGTGAAACCAGCTCAAAAGTTTCCAAGCAGAAAAATCGGACGACCCGGTCGTTGCCTACAGCAGAAAGGAGGACTTCCGTGGGGTTGAACTCCAGTTTTCGGCCCTAGAAAAATGAATTTCACTTGAATTTTTGGGGAGGTTTCCAGGTACCGAATAGTTGAATTGCTTAACATAGGCGCGTTGTCTTGCATCAAACAATTGAATCGAGGAATCTGAACCGACGGCGACGAATCTGTCGCCGGGGGATAAGGCCACACTCCGGACGGCTCCAGCCGTTCGGGCGCTCAGAACCTGGAGAAAAAAAAAATCCTTTTTCCCTTAACTCAAACCGGTTATAATTCGAAAAAGTCTATGAAAAGCTTTATTTTTTTCTCTATACCATAAGATTTTTGTTCAAACTCTAACAGGGTACAGAACCCATAGGACAGTAAAACATTTTGTTCAAGAACCCTTGTTGAAAATTTAAAGGAGCAGAAGCTTTTGAATGCCTTCAAATAATACTGAAAACGGCTTTTCGCCTCGGAATCCATAAAATTTAGTCCATGTTCCTTTAAAAAAGCAAAATTTTTGTGTTTCGGCTACAGTAACCCTCGAAAAGGGGCGGAGCCTGTCCAAACCTTGACTAAAATTTTCAGAGGCTTGTGTAGTTCTTGAGATGAAAGCATGAGTCTAAAAAAGGTACATGATTTTCTAGTGGCTCACCTTTTTGGCAATTCTCGGAGAACGTGTTTTAATTGAAGCCGCTATTCAAACCGAATCAATGAAAAAATTGTGAGAGGTTTTAAAAAAAGACACTAGAAACAGAAATATGAGTCAAAGTCTTATCACTGATTTTTCTCAAGTCTAGAGCAAAATAGTGTGCAAAAATGAGAGGGTTTAGACGTCTCAAGCTGGCGGTGAATGGAGTATAACAGTTCATATTCATCCTTCTCGAATTTCAGGTGTTTCAGGTTAAAAAAAGACACTAGAAACGGAAATATGCGTCCAAGTCCAATTACCACTACCTTATGGAAGTTTTTGGGATTTCTGAAGCAGAATAGTGTGCAAAAATGAGAGGGTTTAGAGGTATTAAGCTAGCGGTAAATGGAGTATAACAATTCAAATTCATCCTGCTCGAATTCCAGGTGTTTCAGGTTTGAAAAAAGACACTAGAAACAGAAATATGAGTCAAAGTCATATCCCTGCTTTTTCTTCTACTCTAAAGCGAAATAGTGTGCAAAAACGAGAGGGTTTAGACGTCTTGAGCTAGCGGTGAATGGAGTATAACAGTTCAGATTCATTCTTTCGACTTTCAGGTGATTAAAAAACCTTGGAAGGGTGCATCCTCGTGTCCCACTGTGACCAGGAGCAGTCCAGGGAGCCCGTGTACTGAAAAAATCTTCATCTTGAATTCCTTAGGATTCCCCAGACGAACCCAGCTGTAGACCGAGGACTTTCCGGCGGCAATCGAGGTGATTGGGAGACTGTGGCCGGAGAGATTCCGGCTCTCCCTTCCCGAAACGACGTCGACCACTTTCAACAGGGTGCCTGTAGAAACTCCAAGAGTTCTCTCGTCTGTGCTCAGTTCCAGGCAGTTGATGTTGCAACACGATGAGAGGGAGGAGGTGCTCGGAAGCTGAAAAATGCAGATTTTAACATTTTGAAAAGGTTTTCATTCCTTTTAGTGGGGCATTTTCTGATAATAATCCCGATTTACATAGAAGAAACGAACTTAGAAGTTTCATAGTGGTCCCTATAGTGGTTAGGGGAAAAAGAGCCTTCAAAGGGGCCGGAAAGGTGGTCCCTATAGGATTTTAGGGTCTGAAACCTTAGCCCCTAAAGTTTGAGTGGTCCCTATAGGGGTAGGAAGAAAAACAGCCTTTATAGCGGCCGGAAAAGTTGTCCCTACAGGAGTTTAGGGTCTGACCCCTTAGCCCCTAAAGCTTGAGTGGTCCCTATAGGGGTTAGGAAGAAAAACAGCCTTTACGGGGGCCGGAAAAGTGGTCCCTATAGGGGTAAAATCGAGGTGGTCCCTATAGGAGTTTGGGGTCTGAAACCTTAGCCCAAGCTTTAGGGGCCAAGTGTGGTTTAGGGACTGACCCCTTGACCCCTAAAGTGGTCCCTATAGGGATCTTTCGACTTTTCGAAAAAACGCCTATTTATTGAATTTTTCGCATGGAAATGCCTCTTCGCATAGAGATTAGCACGTCTTCTATAGGGGCCAAAAACTCAAATCCCTAAAAGGGCCACTTTTGCAAGACCACCAAGTAAGAAAGGCTCAAAAAAAGTCGCAAAACGGAACCCTTATAGCGGCCATTTTGCACCCGTTTTTCACACTTCCGACGTTCAAACTTGTAAGAGATATTCGATTTTTTGAACTGCTTTTCCCTTCCGGAACCAGAACCAGAAGCTCAAAAATTCATAACACCCCGCCAAGAAATTCATCAATCCCTCCGTGGAAACGTTTTTATGAGGGTCCCCGAGGATTTCGCGCACGATTCCCGACGAAAAGCCTTATCTGCCGCCGTCAGATTCTAATCTCCCCATCCATTTTTCATCCATCCGACGGCGTTCACACTTTCGGCGCCAAAGCAAACTCGTCGGGGGGTAGGGGGAGGAAAAGTCCAATCATAGAGGAATTAAAAGGGAAATAAAACGAACGCGCTCGCGCGGCAATCTCATTAGTACAAGGCAACACTAAACTTCTTCATTGGCCTCGTTGTTACGGAGACAGATGGCCGTCTTTTTGAGTAGGAAAATTTTTAGTGGCCCCTAAAGGGTTACGACATTTTAGTGGCCACTATAGAGGTCTAGGTGCTACTGCTAGACCACTAAAAATTATAGTGGCCACTTTAGGGTTTTGCCGTTTCAGTGGCCACTATAGTAGTCAAATTAGTGGCCACTTAAGAGGTTAAAATTCAGTGTCCACTGGCCACTAGAGTAGTCAAATTAGTGGCCACTTAAGGGGTAAAAAATCAGTGGCCACTATAAAGGACTGAGTGCTACTACTAGACCACTTAGTGGCCACTTTAGGGGTCAATGGATCAACATAACTGGTCCAATCTGTTTGTTTCAAAATTATCAAAGTTACTGGTAGGAATACTGGATGAAAAACTACTGAAGTGGCCACTAAAACGGAAAATAGTGGCCACTATAGAGGTGGGTTTAGTGGCCACTTTAGTGTCCTCTCCAAGTAGTCCTTGTTACTATAGTGACCCCTAAACATTTTCCCAACATTTTTAGTTCCTTCGAAACGTACTTTGCCTATTTTTAATGAGCTAACAGGAAAGGTTTTTTTTTTGGAATATTTTGAAAATTGACTTTCAAAGTCAAATAAAACCCTAAAAAGCCGTGAAAAAGACTGAATTGTACATTTTCCAAAGCAAAAATCCCCGGAAGAGCATCGCAAAGCAACTTCACACAACATATCATAAAATGACCAGTGGCGACCCATTTCCGCAGGCTCTCAAAAGCGCCGTCGGACCCATACATTTTAACGAGATGCACAATGGCGAGGGCGAGCACGCGAGCCCACATCCAAAATGCACTAATTATCAGCTTATGGAGAGCTGTAGCTTCTTAAGTGTGATGGTTTTCGGAATGAGTTGAGACTTTCTGATGTGATACTTCGATCTTTTCAGCGGAACAAACTGCCAAATTTTTGGAAAAGCTGAATGGAAGAAAAAAACATCTGGATTGTAAGGTGAAACTGAAAATATGACAAGGAAAGTCACTTTTTTATTGATTCAGCTTTCAGATCTTACGAATATTAAAAGAAAAACCTCAAAACTAAACTATGATTCTGTGATTCGACCCCCCAAACTTAACTACTGTGATCCTGTGATTCAACCCCCCCAAAACTAAATTGTGATTTTGTGATTCCACTCCCCCTAAACTTAACTGTGATTCTGTGATTTGCCCCCCCAAACTTAACTACTGTGATCCTGTGATTCAACCCCCCAAAAAACTAAATTGTGATTTTGTGATTCCACTCCCCCCTAAACTTAACTGTGATTCTGTGATTTGCCCCCCAAACTTAACTACTGTGATCCTGTGATTCAACCCCCCAAAAACTAAATTGTGATTTTTGTGATTCCACTCCCCCTAAACTTAACTGTGATTCTGTGATTTGCCCCCCAAACTTAACTACTGTGATCCTGTGATTCAACCCCCCAAAAACTAAATTGTGATTTTGTGATTCCACTCCCCCTAAACTTAACTGTGATTCTGTGATTTGCCCCCCCAAAAACTAAACTGTGATCCTGTGATTCAACCCCCCAAAAACTAAATTGTGATTTTGTGATTCCACTCCCCCTAAACTTAACTGTGATTCTGTGATTTGCCCCCCCCAAAAACTAAACTGTGATCCTGTGATTCAACCCCCCCAAACTAAATTGTGATTCTGTGATTCCACTCCCCCTTCATTAATGAAGCAAGAACCTAAGAACTAGCCTTTTTCATAGAGACTTTTTTTTATCTACTCAATCATTTTTTTAAAGTGAATTGACCCCCCTCAACTTTCTCACAAGTCCACGGAGAATTCTCGACTAATTGAAGGAGCAAAGAGCTCCGTCTTTGTGGCCGCTCTGGATAATGGCTTCCGGGGGCCCCTGTTTGGATTGTGACACACTTTGTGGCGGGTAATCCCCCCTCGGCGGCCCGTCCGCAGGTGCAACCGCCGCACGGCCGATTTGACTCGAATGAGTGCGCCCCCGTGTCTTTTTCACGGTTGCCGACGACGGCGGAGGCGGCGGACATTTGCATATTTGCTTTTGCAGACATACTTGTTCTTGTTTTGCGGTGGAACAAGGTTTTGGAGAATTGGAAAGCTTGTGAAAGCTTTAAGCTTCAGCGAGTCTCGGTTCCTGTGAATCTGCAGGCATACAGGGTCTCGAAAAGGGTTGGCAAAGAGTTTTAAAAGCTGGGAATGAGCTTGTAAAGCTTGTAAATCTTGTAAAAGCTTCAACTCGTCTTGTAATTTTTGATTTTCTTGGATCCTGTGAATCTGCAGACATACAGGGACTTGGAAAAGAGGGAGACAGGGCTTGTTAAATCTGTGAATGAGCTTGGAAAGCTCGTGAATCATGTAAAAGCTTCAACTAGTCTTGTCATTTTGAAACTTCTTGCATCCTGTGAGTCTGGAGGGTGGAACAGGGCTTTAAAGGGCGCAACAGGGCTTTAAAAGGGGTGGAAAATGACATCAAAGAGCTTAGAAAAATTTTCGTAACTTTGTAAAAAGGGTGGTACAAGGTTTTCGAGGCTTGGAAAGCTTGTAAAACTTGTGAAAGCTCTAGTATTGTCATTTCGAAGTTTCTTGACCCTTGTAGACATTGTAGATATAAGAGGACTTTATAGGGCGCTACAGGGCTTCAAAAAGAGTGGAAAAGGGCATTAAAAGAGATTAGAAAGTTTTTCGGGAGCACCATTTTTTATGATAAGTCCAAAACTTCTGGATTCTAGAGATCTTGTTAAAGCACTGAAGTTTCATGAACCTTCATAACTTTGCTTTTTTTCTTGATAATTAAAAAAAATCATAAAAACTAACCGGTTCAAAGCAGTTTTCCAGTGGAAGAACTTCATAGGGCGATCCAACAAAAAAACCGAATTTGCTCTTCTTGAAAGTGCGGCACACGTCACGGTGCTATGCGGAACCGCCGAGATCACTGAAAACGAAGCTTTAAATTTTTTTCAAGGTCCTAAAAGAATTTATAACTCTTTAACTTTGAAAAATCCAATTATTTGCGCCTCAAATGTCAAAATTCCAATTTTTCAAGTATCAAAAGTTCAAAAAATCATAACTTTCTTCAAACTGAAGCGATCTTGATAATTATAGTACCGTTTAAAAGAGGACAACCTTAACAATCAATAAATCAATATTTGATCACTGTAGGACTGATCAGAGCTAAGCAGGACCCTCTAGAAACCTACGAACTACTTTTTCTTTTGAAATTTCATGATTCTCCTTGATTCGCTCTAATTCAAGTGAAGAAAGCGCCACCAAGATTGAAATCTTCATTAAAAGACTACTTTTTATATTTCCCCCTACATCCTGTTCGAAAAACCTGGGGTTTTTAAAGGCGCATGCATCGAAATTAATAAAGGCCTCAACGCGAAAATCCGTTTTTAGTGTTATTTTTTTCCGTTAATGAAGCTTTGATAAGAGACCACATTATATACTCATCACTACATTCCGTTCAAACAAATTTGCTGCAATTTTTAAAGGCGCATGCATCGAAATTAATAAATGTCTCAACTGGAATATTCCTTTTTAGTGATATTTTCAGCTAATGACGCTCTGATAAGGAGCCAGGTTACATACTCATCTCTACTTCCTGTTCAAAAATCCTTGCTGCAATTTTTAAAGGCGCATGTATCCAAATTAATAAAGGTCTTAACTGGAATATCCGTTTTCAAAGTTATTTTCAGTAAGAGATTCATGGCCCTCTAGGGAATACCCACGAATTCGTACTCTTACTGGAAAGCATTTGGAACACTTCTTTTCGGGGTGTTTCCTGGTCAACAAAAGTATTCCGACCGACCGAAGTTCTAGCTCGAATTCAGTACTTATATCACAAGTTCCTTGAGCTACAAATAAAAATATGGACCCTTGGAATGGCTCGACGCGTTGCGGTTGCGGAGCGGTCATAATAAGGATCGTTCCTGGTCAACAAAAGTAATCTGACCGACCGAAGTTCTAGCTCAAATTCAGTACTTTTCTGAAGGATCTATCAGAAGTTTCTTGAGCTACAAATAAAAATGTGGACTCTTGGAATGACTCGTCGCGTTGCGGCTGCGGAGCGGTCATAACCAAGATGCGCCCGACTTCAAAACAGCTTTCGCGCGACGCGTTGAGCCATTCTAAATGCGTCCCCAAAATATTCAAAAGCCCACATTCAAAGGGAGTTCAAAAAGGTCATCAGATCGAGCTCGAAAAATTGCTTAAAAATAATTAATTTGTTTTTTCGCGTCTAGTCTCTCCTCACTTTCCACACTCTCTAATTTTATCAAGTATTTCGGCTCTTGAACTGATGAAGAATAACAACTAATTAAAAAAATGAATAATCATTACTTATTTCAGAGCGTTCCGAAACAGGAAAATGATGATTTTTAGCAATTTACGCGTCTCTGTGTCTCCAAGCTTTTCCTACTCTCTCGTCAACTTTTATCAGGAAATTACGTCACTCACAGATAGAAAGCACCATTTTAACTTCTCCCAAACGAATACAGCTATGAAATATATAGATTTATTTGAAAAAAAAAAAAATTATTTTCGCGTCTAGGCTCTCCATCTTCTCCACACTCTCTACTCTGCTTTTGGCAATAAATGACGTCACTTAAAGGTAGGAAGTACCACTTTACCGTTTCTCAAACAGGTAAAAATAAATTGAAAATAAAAAATTCATTTCTGAGCAAAAATATAAGATTTGTTTCGTGTCTAGCCTCTCCACCCTTTCCATACTCTCTCGTAGACATTAGGCAATAAATGACGTCATTCAAAGATGGAAAGTACCACTTTACCGTTTCCTAAACGAAGAAAAAGTAAAAAAGGAAAGTTAATTTTAGGCAAAGTATAAAATTATCCTCGCGTCTAGTCTCTCTACCCTTTACATACTCTCTCGCCCACTTTTGGCAACAAATGACGTCACCACCGCTCAGCCGCAGATCCAACTTATTCTGTCTTAACTGAAAAAATCCAATTTTTCACACCAGTTTTTACAGTTTTCTTTTTCTGGTCCCCCTTTAGAGCCCCATCCCAAAACCACCGCCATATTTTTTCCCGCGCCAACCACTTGTACAAACAAAACCGCCGGCTCAATGTGTGATGGAGGCCACTGGACATTCTGCTTCCCGTATCGATCTTTTTTTCGTGTTTCGGTGCCTGTTCTTCCTATTGTCTTTGGCTCCAGTGGCAAAAGGGAGGAAGAAGGAGTATACTAAAGTTGAAAAAAATCGAAATTTTCCTGTTCTTCCAAGCGCCTTTGGCTCCTAGAGCCGTTAAAAAAAAACAAAAAATTGAAAAAAAATACCCAAGGAAGCACAGAAAATCACAAAATACTTCAAAAAGAGGCTATAAACAAATATTATTCGGAAAAGAACCAATTGGAATAGAGGAAAAAATCGCCGCAACAGATGAAACATTTGCGCCCCATGGCTAATAAGAGAAAACAAGGAAAAAAATCTCATTATCTTAAAAGTTTCTAGAAAATATTAATTGAAAAAATAATTGGAACGATTTTTCAGAAAAATTGCAATTATTCATAGAGCGCACAAGTTAATAAATATTCCCATTTTTTTGGCGGCTATTTCTTCATTTTGTTTTTCTAATTTTTTTCTGATCTCAAAGGCATTAGAAAAAGATTCATTTCTTAAAAGTCAATTTTTTTTCCCCTTTTTTTACGGTTTCTCTCATCATTTTATCCATAGAGCACGTTTGCTGAAACCTCCGCGGCTATTTTTTCACAATTATTTTTTCTAGCTTTTTCCGATCTTAAAGACTTTAAAGTAGATTCATTTCCCAAAAGTTAGTTTCTATCCACTTTTTACGGGTTTCCCTATCATTTTATCCATGGAGCACTTTTGCTAAAACATCCGCGGCTATTTTTTCACAATCCTTTTTTCTAATTGTTTCGGATCTTGATGACTTTGAAAAAGATTCATTTCTTAAAAGTCAATTTTTTCCCCTTTTTACGGTTTCTCTCATCATTTTATCCATGAAGCACCTTTGCTAAAACCTCCGCGGCTATTTTTTCAAAATCTTTTTTTCTAGTTTTTCGGACCTTGAAGACTTTAGAACAGGTTCATTTCCCAAAAGTTAGTTTCTATCCCCTTAGTACGGGTTTTCCTATCATTTTATCCATGGAGCACGTTTGCTAAAACCTCCGCGGCTCTTTTTTCGCAGGCCACTCATGATATGATCATCTCCAATTTTTTGTTCCCACTTGGCAAGTGCTCCTGTTTGGCGATGCCAAGCGGGGGGAAAACCAGGCATTCCCACACACTTTTGCCGGCGAAAAGGGGGAATTATAGCGTATGGCCGGCCAACACCAGAGTATTATTACGCCCTTTTCTTCTCCTTCCACTATCAAATTACATTCTCCAATCGCCTTATATGAGGGCCGCACTCGTAAAACATACATTCTCACGGTTTAAGGAAGTTTTAAGGACATAGAATGGATACCAGAAAAAGTCGTTTTTTTACAAGAAAAAAGTTCGAGAAGCTCTAATCCAACCCTTAAAGGTAAACTTGATTGTACAAAAAACGTAAAAAATTCAAGTTTCCGCTAAAAAATCCTTCCTAGAAGATCAGGGAGAAAAAAAGTTGAAATATATAAATTCCTACAAATATCGGAGAAAAATCCAAAGCTGTCGGAAGCGCGGAAAACCGATGCGAAATGGCCGCTAAAAGGGTTCCGTTTTGCGGCCTTTATTGAGCCTTTCTTTTTTGGTGGGCTAAAAAGCTTCAAAAAGGGTGAAAAAAGGGGGCAAAAAGGGTGCAAAAAGGGTGCTGAAAGTTTCGACCATTGATTATTTCCGATTTCATTACTTAGCACATTTTGGTTTATACGCAATCACTAATAAAGACTATTATCAATTTAAAAAGTTTTTTGTATCAAAAGGGTCCAAAAAGGGTCCAAAAAAAGGTCCAAAAAGGACCAAAAAAAGGTTAAAAAGGTCCAAAAAAAGGGTCCAAAAAAAGGCCCAAAGAGGGTCGAAAAAAGGTCCAAAAAGGGTCCAAAAAAGGTCCAAAAAGGGTCGAAAAAAGGTCCAAAAAGGGTCCAAAAAAGGTCCAAAAAAGGACCAAAAAAGGTAAAAAAAAAGGTCCAAAAAGGGTCCAAAAAAGGCCCAAAGAGGGTCGAAAAAAGGTCCAAAAAGGGTCCAAAAAAGGTCCAAAAAGGGTCGAAAAAAAGGTCCAAAAAGGGTCCAAAAAAAGGGTCCAAAAAGGGTCCAAAAAAGGTCCAAAAAAGGTCCAAAAATGGTCCAAAAAAGGTCCAAAAAGGGTTCAAAAAGGGTGGATAAAGGGCGATGAAAGGACGGAAAAAGGCTGTAAAAAGGAAACCGTTTTCACCCTTTTAGGAACAATTAATTGACACCTTTTGATCCATAACAGATGCTCAAGGGACCCCTAAAGGGTCTTACATTTTCAAAAAAAAAAAAAAATTTCGACCAATCTCCATTCAAAAAAATAACAATAATTCTGAATCAAAAAAATCAAAAAAACTTGAAATTTCCTTTGAAATAAAAACTGAAAAATAACAAAAAAACCCTATTTTTTTCTCAGAATTTTTCCTTTATTTTTCAAAAATTTACGAAAAATCCTTGAATTTCTAAAGCTCCCATGAATTTTTCACCATTTCTCCTTTTAAAAAACAACTCTTTCCAAAATTAGTCACTATATAATTCTAAAAAAAGGTACGTTTGAACAGAAGATCGTACAAATCCGCAAACAATACCAACTATAGCCCTGATTTCATGGAAATTGACGAAATATACGATTTTCTGGGCTTTTTTTGTATTTGTCCAGCCAGATGTTGACTAGAAAACATATCAGACTCGAAAAATTGACTTTTTTTTCTTTTTTCTTACTGAAGTGATCAAATTTGAACTTCAAAAGTTCATAGCTCGGGTCAAAACGCTCAGAACCGTGTAAAATCAATTTTTCTCAGCTTCTAAGGGTCCACTTTCATATAATAAAATAAGACTATGAGTTTCAGAAATCGATTTTTCCCCGTTCTTGTCAAATTAGTGAATTAAATCTTCAAAAATTTCAAAAGTCGAGTCAAAAATTTTGGTTTAACCGGTCCAGACGTTCAAAAAACAGCAAAAAATACAATTTTTCAAGTTCTAAAAGCTTCTTTTCTATAATTTTCTATCAGAAAAAGCCAGAATTGACCATATCCGATAAATAAAAGTCGCAACACCGAATGATTGATGGGATTGATACTGTATCAAGTTTTTTTCTTATCATGATAAGATCAGTCGGAAGCTAAAAAAATGACATAACTTACGAAAATCCTATAAGATTCCTATAAAAAAATCAATTTTTTTCATTAAAAATACAGATAAAAAAATGGAGTGGAGGTGCAGAATTCTGTCTAAAACTCTCTTCTCCTTGTTTACTATCTAAAAAATCAGAGATAACATGAAAAGTGGAGACGCAGAGAAGTATTAAAAATATCTAATTATGAAAAAATCAACAGAAAAAAGTTGAAACGGACTTTTCAAGTGGTTACTTAAGGGGAATAAGAGATTATTTCCCCTTCAATCTCTTAAATTACCACTGGATCTTCTCAGATTGCAACGAATGCCAACGCAAACTCTCAAGAGGTCACTTGAGTGTTTTTTACCCCTACAATCTTAAGAAGTCACTTGAGTGTTTTTAACTCCTACAATCTTAAGAAGTCACTTGAGTGTTTTTAACTCCTACATTCTTAAGAGGTCACTTGAGTGTTTTTAAATCCCACGTTCTTAAGAAGTCACTTGAGTGTTTTTTAAACCTACAATCTTAAGAAGTCACTTGAGTGTTTTTTAAACCTACAATCTTAAGAAGTCACTTGAGTGTTTTTAACTCCTACATTCTTAAGAGGTCACTTGAGTGTTTTTAACCCCTACATTCTCAAGAGGTCACTTGAGTGTTTTTAAATCTCTAAAAGGTCCTCTATTCTCGAAAAATTAGTTTCAAATTTTCCCGAAAAAATGCTTTTTCTTTATTTTGTACTTCAGATGAACCGAAAAAATTTTTTGACCTTTTAAAAAATGGAGACCCTTTTTTTACCTTCTATTCATTATAAACCATTTCGAAAAAAATTTTTTTTCAGGTGGAAATTTCACCATTTTTAGACCTATTTTATCGATAAAAACCTAAAAAAAAATCCTTTTTTTCTTCTAACTTTCCCGAGAAAAAGACGAAAAAAACCAACCTTCGACCCGCATTCCCGTCCTTCCGTACTCTTTAGAAGTGAAATTTCGCGTGTTTTCGCACAAGATTTCGGCTTTTTCGAAATGGCGATTTCCCCTTGGGGGATTTCCGAATAAGGCGTTTTTCCGCTGGCCACGATTTCGCTCCTCTTTTTCTGAAAATTGCTTTGTTTTCGATTGGTTTTTCAACTGGAAAATGTCTTGGGAAATCCATTAAACGATGAAAAATTGGTTCGAACTTTTGAAAGCACACGGAAAAATTTTCTAACATCAGGAAAAATCGTCAAAGTTATAAAAAATGGAATTGAATTACCGAGGAATTAAGCCATTCCAAATGCGGCCACGATTTTTTTTTGTGGTAAGAACTTGGAAGCACAACAAAAATCGCCAAAATTTCCACAAAAAATTCAAGTTGAATAAAAAAAAGCCATTCCAAATGCGGTCACATTTTTTTCGTAGTTGTGGAAAGAATTTGGAATTTTTTTGGACCAAGAAAAAAATCGAAAAAGTCACGAATAGAATTAAAAAAATTAAAAAAATATAACCATTCCAAATGCGGCCCTTTTTTTATGTGGAAATGATTTGAAAAACACAAGAAAAAAATTGAAATTGAAAAAAATCCATTCCAAATGCGGTCACGTTTTTTTCTTTTTAAACCCCCTAAAAATGTGAAACAGTGATCATAAATATTCTAGGAAATTATCGAAATTCTGCCGATTTCCCTCAAAATTTAAAGGAACATGTTAGAAAACGACAAAAAAGTCTTGCCGCGAAAAATGTTATACAAGGCCCTGCGCCTTTAATAACGTCAAATTACAAGAATGTTTTATTCCGAAATTTTTTAGCGCATCTAGAAATCGTAAGAATGTAATTTCTTGTTTTTTTAAATTCCAGTTAAAAAAATTTATTTTTTTCAAAGCGAATAAATAAAATTTTTTTGTTGACGCTAGGGGCGTGTAACGATTGAGACAAATGGATCACGAGATTGAAAAAAAAAGGGGAAAACAAAAAATATAGAGCCGATTGATAAGTGTTTTTTGGGAAAATAAAGTGGAAAGGAACAAAAAATTGGGATTCCAATGGAAGTTTTTGAGTGTAAAAGTTGCGGAAATCTCAATTTTATATTCTAAATTTTGAAAAAAGGGGGAATTTTTTTCGTTTTCTGTTTAAAAATTTGACTGTGAAAAACTAAAAAAAAAAATTTTTTTTTTGCAAAATTGGGAGATTTGTAATTTTTTTCTTGGAAAAAGCTTCACAAAAGCTTCATTTTTTTCTCGAAAAAAATCGAAAAAAAGTGAAAAAAATCTAGTTTTTTTCTCACTGTAAACTTCAACGAAAAAAACGCTTCAAAAATACTTCAGATTTCTTTCAAAAATTCAATTTTACAAAAAAAGTCTGAAAACCCACGTTTTTAGTTCAATTTCAATACCAGAAACCCTCAAAAATTATTTTTCCCTCCAAAAAAAAACCTGTGCCAAAAAATGATTCAACCCAACAGTATACACTACGAGCCGAAAAAACGTCGATTGTTTGGTTTTGGCGTGGTAGAAAGAGGAGGAAAAACGAACAAAAAGGTCTCAAGTTACATGAAGAATTGAGAATTTCTTCGTTCTGAATTTCCCTGAGAATCACGGGAGAAATTGATTGGAAGTGTTTCTTGAGAAAATTCCCTTTCGATGTTCATTTTTGAAGCTTCAGGCATGGCTCTACGGACATGCAGTATAGAGCCGCTTTTTCGAATGCTTTCGGATGAAGCCTCGCGCAAGTCGTTTCAGGTCCGTTGCATTGTAAAAAAATCCCTGGCGCTACCGCCAAGCGCTGCACTTGCAATGGCTCAATCGTTTACGGTCAAGAGCCGCTTTTTCGAATGCTTTCGGATGAAGCCTCGCGCAAGTCGTTTCAGGTCCGTTGCATTGTAAAAAAATCCCTGGCGCTACCGCCAAGCGCTGCACTTGCAATGGCTCAATCGTTTACGGTCAAGAGACGATTTTTCGAATGCTTTCGGATGGAGCCTCGCGCAAGTCGTTCCAGGTCCGTTGCATTATAAAAAATCCCTGGCGCTACCGCCAAGCGCTGCACTTGCAATGGCTCAATCGTTTACGGTCAAGAGACGATTTTTCGAATGCTTTCGGATGGAGCCTCGCGCAAGTCGTTCCAGGTCCGTTGCATTATAAAAAATCCCTGGCGCTACCGCCAAGCGCTGCACTTGCAATGGCTCAATCGTTTACGGTCAAGAGACGATTTTTCGAATGCTTTCGGATGGAGCCTCGCGCAAGTCGTTCCAGGTCCGTTGCATTATAAAAAATCCCTGGCGCTACCGCCAAGCGCTGCACTTGCAATGGCTCAATCGTTTACGGTCAAGAGACGATTTTTCGAATGCTTTCGGATGGAGCCTCGCGCAAGTCGTTCCAGGTCCGTTGCATTATAAAAAATCCCTGGCGCTACCGCCAAGCGCTGCACTTGCAATGGCTCAATCGTTTACGGTTAAGAACCGATTTTTAAAATGCTTTCGGATGAAGCCTCGCGCAAGTCGTTCCAGGTCCGTTGCATTATAAAAAATCCCTGGCGCTACCGCCAAGCGCTGCACTTGGAATGACTCCATGGTTTCCGCTTTGACAAACTAGAGTCGCTTGTCTAAACACTTTCCGATGCAGCTTAGCGCAAGCCGTTTTTGGTCGGGAGCATTTTTGAAAAATCGCTGCAACGCATGGCCGTTGCGTCAGCTGTTTTCGAAAATGCGCCCGACCAAAAACGGCTTGAGCGTGACTGCATTGGGAAGTGTTTAAACGAGTGGTTCTAGTTCAAATCGGAATTCATTGAGCCATTCCAAGTGCAGCGATTGGCGGTAGCGTCAGGGATTTTTGATAATGCAACCGACCAAAACCGACTTGCGCCAGGCTTTATCCGAAAGCATTCGAAAAAGCGGCTCTATACCGTCAACGATTGAGCCATTGCAAGTGCAGCAGTTGGCGGTAGCAACAGGGATCCTGGACAATGCAACGGACCAAAAACGACTTGCGCGTGACTGCATCGAAAATCTCAAAAAGTGGCTCTAAACCGTAAACGATTGAGCCATTGCAAGTGCAGCGATTGGCGGTAGCGTCAGGGATTTTTGATAATGCAACCGACCAAAACCGACTTGCGCCAGGCTTTATCCGAAAGCATTCGAAAAAGCGGCTCTATACCGTCAACGATTGAGCCATTGCAAGTGCAGCAGTTGGCGGTAGCAACAGGTATCCTGGACAATGCAACGGACCAAAAACGACTTGCGCGTGACTGCATCGAAAATCTCAAAAAGTGGCTCTAAACCGTAAACGATTGAGCCATTGCAAGTGCAGCGCTTGGCGGTAGCGTCAGGGATCATGGAAAAATGCAACGGACCCAAAAACGACTTGCGCGAGGCTTCACCCGAAAGCATTTGAAAAAAGCGGCTCTAAAACCGCAACTCTATGATCCATTGCAAGTGCAGCTCTTGGCGGTAGGGATTTTTGATAATGCGCCCGACCAGAACCGACTTGCGCGAGGCTTCATCCGAAAGCATTTTGAAAATCGGTTCTTAACCGTAAACGATTGAGCCATTGCAAGTGCAGCGCTTGGCGGTAGCGCCAGGGATTTTTTATAATGCAACGGACCTGGAACGACTTGCGCGAGGCTCCATCCGAAAGCATTCGAAAAAAAGCGGCTCTAAAACCGCAACTCTATGATCCATTGCAAGTGCAGCTCTTGGCGGTAGGGATTTTTGATAATGCGCCCGACCAGAACCGACTTGCGCGAGGCTTCATCCGAAAGCATTTTGAAAATCGGTTCTTAACCGTAAACGATTGAGCCATTGCAAGTGCAGCGATTGGCGGTAGCGTCAGGGATTTTTGATAATGCAACCGACCAAAACCGACTTGCGCCAGGCTTTATCCGAAAGCATTCGAAAAAGCGGCTCTATACCGTCAACGATTGAGCCATTGCAAGTGCAGCAGTTGGCGGTAGCAACAGGTATCCTGGACAATGCAACGGACCAAAAACGACTTGCGCGTGACTGCATCGAAAATCTCAAAAAGTGGCTCTAAACCGTAAACGATTGAGCCATTGCAAGTGCAGCGCTTGGCGGTAGCGTCAGGGATCATGGAAAATGCAACGGACCCAAAACGACTTGCGCGAGGCTTCACCCGAAAGCATTTGAAAAAGCGGCTCTAAACCGCAACTCTATGATCCATTGCAAGTGCAGCTCTTGGCGGTAGGGATTTTTGATAATGCGCCCGACCAGAACCGACTTGCGCGAGGCTTCATCCGAAAGCATTTTGAAAATCGGTTCTTAACCGTAAACGATTGAGCCATTGCAAGTGCAGCGCTTGGCGGTAGCGCCAGGGATTTTTTATAATGCAACGGACCTGGAACGACTTGCGCGAGGCTCCATCCGAAAGCATTCGAAAAAGCGGCTCTAAACCGCAACTCTATGATCCATTGCAAGTGCAGCTCTTGGCGGTAGGGATTTTTGATAATGCGCCCGACCAGAACCGACTTGCGCGAGGCTTCATCCGAAAGCATTTTAAAAATCGGTTCTTAACCGTAAACGATTGAGCCATTGCAAGTGCAGCGCTTGGCGGTAGCGCCAGGGATTTTTGATAATGCGCCCGACCAGAACCGACTTGCGCGAGGCTTCATCCGAGAGTGTTTGAAAAATCGGCTCTAAAACGTAAACCATTGAGCCATTGCAAAAGCAGCGCGTCAAATTTGGAAAATGCAACGGACCAAAACCGACTTGCGCGCGGAGACATCGAAAAGCATTTTGAAAGGTCGCAGCGTTTCAAGCCATTCCAAATGTGGCAAAATTTCGATTTCAAAAAAAATCTTCTCATTAATATGTAAAATTCCCGACTTTTCAAGATGTCAAACGACAAGTCATAGTTCAAAAAACGCTTCAAATCATGAAAATATCGAACCAAAACTACCAACTTCCCAACCAACAGGACCCATAAAAAACCAATAAAATAGAGTGCTAAAAGGTCATGAATGGGAGGAAAAGCGATGAAACTGTCGGGATGAGTCATAAAAGTTGACGTTTATCAGCAGGAAGAGGGCATTATGGTGATAAACTCAACGTTTTGCGATAAGATTTTCGTTCGAAAAATACTAAAACCATTATTTTTTTCTCAATAACTGGCATTATCAAAGCATAAGAAAAGAAATAAAGCCATGGCCGCCTTGAAATAAATTGGAAAGGCTTCAAGATAACACCTGTCAATCTCAAAGTCACATGTTAAGGTTCCGTTTACACGTGAAGTCCAGCTGGCGTAAAAAAAACGATTTTTTCGCAAAGGACCTCTGGGAAATGTGATATGAGATGAGAGAGTCTTGAAAGAAGAAAAATCAACCTTTTCGAATGAGAAAATGAGCTCGGATGAAAAAAAAATTATTTTCGAAAACGGCCCATTTTTTTCGAGAAAGTGTGCTCCATTGATAAACCATCCTAGAGAAACGAAAATCGGGTTAAAAAAAATTATAAAAACACTATTTCCTGATTATTTATCAACAATCATAGAAAATGAGAAAAATTATCAATAGAGCAACCTTAAATGAGAAAAAACAGCCGCCTACGAATTTAGATCGTTTTCTTCAGAAGATGGTTTTGAATATAGGTAAAAATGATAAAATACTGTTTCCTTATTAATTCATGAAAATTCATATGAAAAAAAAGAAATTATCAATAGAGCAACCATAAGTGAGAAAAAACAGCCGCCTACGAATTTTGATCGTTTTTCTCGGCAAATGGTTGTAAAATCCAATCATAAAACGGAATTTGTGTCGAAAAAGTGTTAGAAAACGGCAAGAGGAGGGGCGGAAGCTTCGAGGGTCTTAGAGCCATTCAAACAAAACGCCGGCGAAGCTTCTCAAAAACGAAACAACTTTTGGCGAAAAAAAACATGAAGCTCTCCTTTTTGAAAGACTTGAAGGGCTTCATGTTGCGAAACTCGTGATTTTTCCAAAAAATATGAAAAAGTTAAAGTTTTAAAAGGTATTTTAAGCTCTCTACTACTTTTCTTGGTGCTAATTAGGCTTAAAAAAAAGCTTTTATTCACCAAAAAACCGCGAAAAAAGGTTTGATGCGGTTTTCTGAGCCTTTCTAAGCCCTAAAATCGTCAGAAAATCTTGAAAAATAGTTCGAAAACCCATTAAAAAAGGTCCGAAACGTCGAAAATATGATGCAAATCGACTGGTAAAGACAAAAATGGCTATTAAAAAAGATTCGGGTCAAAAAGGAAGTTTTAGGATTTAATCAAATGATCGAGGAGTCTTTGAAAACCTTCAGAAACAGTTCAAAACAACTGAAAAATGACAAAAAAACCGTTCAAAAACTTTTTCAAAGTCAAAATTATACTGAAAACCGTTAAAACAGGCCAAAAAGCATGGGAAAAACGTCTATTTTCACAATTTATACTTAAAAAATGGAGAAAATCGGCTCTTTCTCATTTTTTAAGGTTTACTTGCTTTTCCAAAGGCTATAAGTCCATTGAAAATCATTAATAAGACCATAAAATCTGCAAAAACTCATAAAAAAAGTCCAAAAAAAGTCTACTTTCACAATTTTTGGCGAAAACTCTGATTAAAACTTGAAAACTCGGTATTTCCTTATTTTTGGAAGATTAACTATGCTTCAAAAAAGACTTTAAGTCTATTGAAAATCATTAATAGGACCATAAAATCAGCAAAAGCTCAAAAAAGGCCAAAAAACCATCTCAAAAAAATTCGAAAAAAACCCAGTTTCATTTCGAAACCGTTCCGAAACCGTTCGGAAAGCCAACAAATCACAAAAAAACTGTAAGAATCGGCCATAAAGCATGGGAAACGGCAAAGAGCGCGGAGAACAGAGAGGCCAAAATGCAAATGGGGCGAGGGCGACGGAGAGCGGCCCCCGAGTGGGGCTAGACGGTCGCCGAGAGAGCGGTCTCCCCGGTGGAGACGCCGACGACGGCAGACCATCATCGCTGCCAAGTTGTGGGCGTGGCCCCCAACGGAATGGGGGGTGCCATTGCCATTTTCGGATGAGGAGGGGGAAAAAAAGCGAACGGCGGTGGGAAGTCGAAAATTGGATCCCTTTTTCGTGAGTGATTGAGTGTTGGCCATTCGGAGGAATGGAATGCGGATTTTTCCCAGGGGAAAAATGCACAGAATACTGATATTTAAACTTGAGGCCATCTCGGATGGCAAACATTCGCTTAAAAAGACCTTTTTCCTAAAATCCACAAAAAGCTGTTTTCTCGCTGAGAAGTGTGCTCTATTGATAATGTTTTCGTAAGACCCTTCTCCATCAAACTTTATACTAATTGGATTAGTATGAATCACGAAAATCCGCTAGAAAGTGAATTTTCCAGTAAAACATGCTGAGAAGGCGATTTTCGATGTAACAAGTGTGCTCTATTGATAATTTTAGGAGAAACCTCTCTTCTTCAAAATATTATCAAACTGGATTAGTATGAATTACGAAAATCCGCTAAAAAGTGGGTCTTCCAATAAAATCGGCTTGGAAGGCGATTTTGGCTGGAACAAGTGTGCTCTATTGATAATCTTTACGTAAGACCCTTCCTCATCAAACTTTATACTAATTGGATTAGTATGCATCAAAAAAGGCCTTTAAAAATTGTTGTTTAATGAAATCGGCTTGGAAGGCGATTTTCGCTGAAACGAGTGTGCTCTATTGATAATCCTAGGAGAAACCTCCCTTCTTTAAAATATTATCAAATTGGATCAGTATAAATCACGAAAATCCGCAAGAAAGTGGCTTTTCCAATGAAATCGGCTTGGAAGGCGATTTTCGCTCGAACAAGTTTGCTCCATTGATAATTTCTGTGCCAAAACGCTAAAACTTCGGAATTTCGGCTAAAGCTGAAGAGTCGAGTTTTCTCTGACGTTATACAAGTCTTAAAATTCAACTAGCGGCCGTTTCTTCGCAAGAAAATGTGCTCCAAAGAGAACAATTTTCGTAAAAAGCTCCGTTTTTTCGATTTCGCAACCAAGTTCTTGCAAGATTTCGAGCATAGTGCAAAGAAGGAAGTAATGCAAAAAGTTTCGAGTTTTTCTTAAACGTTTCCGGTCGGTGGAACACTATTTCCTGTGTAGGAAAGGACCAAAAACTTGAGAAAAATGACCTAGTTCTCGGGAGAAAAAGAAGAATAAAGGAAAAAGATCGATCAGAAGCAAGAAAAGTGAGAAAAACCAGTTCAAAATAAAGAACGGCTGATTTTTCTCAAGAACATTCGCTCCAAGGACAAAAATTGATTTTTCAAGGTGAATTTCTGGAAAAAAGATATTTCAACTCAAATTTCATGATAAATCCATTTTTCAATCAATTATTGCCAATTTCGCTTGGAGAAACTTTGAAATTTCACAAAATTCACTCAAAAATCGAGTTCTGAAAGTATGAACCCGTATATTTGCTCGAGACATAGACCAACATTATTTGCTTTTCGTCACTATCAAATTATTTGACAATCTCAAGTTTGCCCAAGAGAACAAACTGAGCCTAAGTTGGCCCTTAAGGGATTTCGACAAGGAATCTGCAGCTTTTCCGAAAATTCTAGCAAAAAAAAAAAAGATATTTTTAGATGATTCTCTTTCAAAAAACCAACAGAAAATGTTATTTTTCTTCATTTTCTCAAAAAAAAAACGAGGAAGTTTCCAAGTTTGCCCAGGAGAACAGACTGAGCTTGAATTGGCCCTTAAGGGATTTCGACAAGGAATTTGGAGCTTTTTCAAAAAGCAAAAAAGTTTTTTAGATGATTTCCTTCCAAAAAAACCAACTTGAAATGTTATTTTTCCTTCAATTTCTCAGGAAAAAAAGGGGAAGTTTTCAAGTTCGCCCAGGAGAACAAACTGAGCCTAAGTTGGCTCTAAAGGGATTTTTATTGAGGAAGGAATCTGAAGCTTTTTCAAAAAAATTCTAGCGAAAAAAAGTTTTTTTAGATGATTCTCTTTCAAAAAAACCAACAGAAAATGTTATTTTTTTCTTCATTTTCTCAAAAACGGAGAAGTTTGCAAGTTTGCCCAGGAGAACAGACTGAGCTTAAGTTGGCCCTTAAAGGGATTTTTTTATTGAGTAAAAAGATTTCGACAAAGGAATCTGAAGCTTTTTTTCGAAAAATTCTAGCAAAAAAAGTTTTTTTAGTTGACTTTCCTTTCAAAAAAATCGACATAAAAGCTTGTTTTTTTCTTCATTTTCTCAAAAACGGAGAAGTTTCCAAGTTTGCCCAGGAGAACAGACTGAGCCGATGATGCCACTTAAGGGATTTCGACAAGAAATCTGAAGCTTTTTCCAAAAATTTTTTTAGCAAAAAAATTTTTTTAGATGATTTTTCCTTTCGAAAAAAATTAACAGAAAATGTTATTTTTTTCTTCAATTTTTTTCTCAAAAAAACGAGGAAGTTTTCAAGTTCGCCCAGGAGAACAAACTGAGCCAAAGTTGGCCCTTAAGGGATTTCGACAAGGAATCTGAAGCTTTTTCAAAAATTTCTAGCAAAAAAAAAGTTTTTTTAGATGATTTTCTATCAAAA